ACGGTGGCGAACTCTGATGAATAAAGGGACTAAGCCGAAGGACAATTAATGAATGAAAACAACAGATTTACTTTTTTTTAAAGAAGTCATCTAATCACTTTAAAAACAGTTTTACTCACTTTTCAAGTAAGGTCAACTAATCGCTTAAAAACAACAGTTTTATTCACTGTTTAAAAGTAAACTAATCGCTTGAAAAATAAAAGGTTTACTCCCTTTTTAAAAGTAAAGTCAACTAATCGCTTAAAAAAATCACTTAAAAAATAACAGATTTACTCCCTTTTTTAAGTAAAGTCAACTAACCACTGTAAAAACAACAGATTTACTCACTTTTTAAAAGTAAAGTCAACTAAAAACAACAGTTTTACTCCCTTTTTAAAAGTAAAGTCAACTAATCACTTAAAAAATAACAGATTTACTCACTTTTTAAAAGTCAAGTCAACTAACTGCTTTTAAAACAACAGTTTTACTCATTTTTTAAAAGTGAAGTCAACTAATTGTTTTTAAAACAACAGTTTTACTCACTTTTTAAAAGTAAAGTCAACTAATTGCTTTTAAAACAACAGTTTTACTCACTGTTTAAAAGTAAAGTCAACTAATTGCTTTTAAAACAACAGATTAACTCACTTTTTTAAGTAAAGTCAACTAATCGCTTTAAAAACAACAGTTTACTCACTTTTTAAAAGTAAAGTCAACTAATTGCTTTTAAAACAACAGTTTTACTCACTGTTTAAAAGTAAAGTCAACTAATTGCTTTTAAAACAACAGATTAACTCACTTTTTTAAGTAAAGTCAACTAATCGCTTTAAAAACAACAGTTTACTCACTTTTTAAAAGTAAAGTCAACTAATTGCTTTTAAAACAACAGATTAACTAACTTTTTTAAGTAAAGTCAACTAATCACTTTAAAAACAACAGTTTTACTCACTTTTTAAAAGTAAAGTCAACTAATAGCTTTTAAAACAACAGTTTTACTCACTGTTTAAAAATAAAGTCAACTAATTGCTTTTAAAACAACAGATTAACTCACTTTTTTAAGTAAAGTCAACTAATCGCTTTAAAAACAACAGTTTAATCACTTTTTTAAAGTAAAGTCAACTTATCACTTAAAAAATAACAGTTTTACTCACTTTTTAAAAGTAAAGTCAACTAATTGCTTTTAAAACAACAGATTTAATCACAGTTTTAAAGTAAAGTCAACTAATTGCTTTTAAAACAACAGATTTACTCACTTTTTTAAAGTAAAGTCAACTAATTGCTTTTAAAACAACAGTTTTACTCACTTTTTAAAAGTAAAGTCAACTAATCACGTAAAAAATAACAGGTTTATTCCCTTTTAAAAAGTAAAGTCAACTAATTGCTTTAAAAACAAATAATTTACTCCTTTTTAAACATAAAGTCAACTAATTGCTTTAAAAACAAATAATTTACTCCTTTTTAAACATAAAGTCAACTAATCGCTTTAAAAACAACTAATTTACTCCCTTTTTAAAATTAAAGACAACTAATCGCTCTAAAAACAAATAATTTACTCCTTTTTAAACATAAAGTCAACTAATTGCTTTAAAAACAACTGTTTTACTCCCTTTTTAAAATTAAAGTCAACTAATCGCTTTAAAAACAACTAATTTACTCCCTTTTTTAAACGTAAAGTCAACTAAGCACTTAAAAAAACAAGTTTTACTAACTTTTTAAGGGTAAAGTTAACTAATAACTTTAAAAACAACAGTTTTACTCACTTTTTTAAAGTAAAGTCAACTAATCACTTAAAAAATATTGGATTTAATCACTTAAAATCACTAATTACTTTTTAAAAGTAACTAATCATGTTTTATTTACTCATTTTGCTAATACAATACCATTTATCAAATATTAGTGTACATTATCTCACACAGTATATTTTGCAACTACATTGATTACAATGCCACAAAACCCAATTAAATGTAAATACATAAGTAATGTACATAAACAAGTTTTCCTGTAAGCATATACAATTCAGCTTATAGAATAAGAAATGCTAACATGTTGCAGTCAGTCATGTTGGCAGATCATAGAAAGAGACAGTTTAGTCAAGTTGATCCTCATTCCAAACCACATTCCACGATGATCTGTCAAAATATGTCAAGATGTGTGTAGAAACTCATACAGGTGGACCTCAGTCAGAACAAAGTGCATGTTGACTTTGTTTTGCAACTAGATGTACCATGGCATTATGGCGATGATATCTAACATCTAATAATACAAAACAGAACAAGCCGGTCAGAACACTAAAACCTAAACTTCCGCAAAGGCTATATTTGACAACAAGACTCTGAAACTAGCTTAACTATAGAGCTGCAACCAATATACTGTATGCTGGTTTAAACTGGTCTTTTGAGCTGGAAAACGTGTTAAAAGTTTAATATGGTGAATGAGTCAAGGATACTTGCTTTATAGTTTAAATAGTGTAAGCATGTGTAAGGGTGTGTTCTGGAGTTTCAGAGTCAACGTTACAGTATGTTTAGGATGACATTTCAAACATGCTTGATAGTTTCGAGTGCATTTCCATCCGCATTTCTACATATATGCAAAATTAGCTCCTTTTTCAAGGAAGAAGTTCTCAGGCAAACTCAAGTGAAGTGTTATTTTAGGGTCATTGTTGTATTAGCTTTTATTTTTTTGTTGTGTTACTATAATTTATGCTTTTTATGAAAAATGTGGGTTAATGACAAATAAAGGGACACTGTAAAAACAAAATCTGTAATTTTAAATAACAGCCGTTAAATTACAGAAATTTAGAGTAAAATAACGGCTGTTAAATTACAGAAATTCACTGTAAAAAAACAGACGTTAAATTACATTAAATTTCTATAAATTTTAATTTCTGGTCAATTTCTGTAATAACGTCTGTTATTTTACAGTAAATTTCTGTAAGTTAACAGCCGTTATTTTGCGTTTTTATCCAGCACCCCATATTTATATTCCAGTGTCTATTTTTCCTCTCTGAATTAAAATATGTCCTGTTTTTTCCTGAAAATAATTTTGATGATTTTAAAAAGACTTTTAGTGTATGTAAAAAGTGTGCACTAAATGCAGAGTCTACAGCAAAAACAGACAAAGTATTTCAGCAATTTTCTACAGTTGTTTTTTTATTTTTTATAAACTTGTTAGAAATGTAGAAACATAAAAATAAACCCAAGAATAAAACAACAACTATGGATAAACAAATTACAAACATTTTAAGCAATTATAACATTTTACACCAAAGCAAATGCTGCCATTTATAAATTTAAGAAAATCTCAAATAGGGGAAACAACTTTGAATGAAACCATAAGGTTCCTCATAAAATTAACAATCATAAAATACTGATTTAAAATATATGAAAAAAAAAACTTTGCAGGACCTACAGTGCAAGTATAGAACAGTAGATGATGCATAAAATACAGCTGTTAAACCTAAATAACCTATCAGTTATTTAACCTATCTATTTCTAACCAAAATCCTAATTGTACAAATAGCCTCGGGCCCGTAGCCTGAGGGCTGATTGGGGTGTGTGGTCGGTTGGTTTGAAAGACCCACCCCCCTCCGACAAAGTTCCAGAATTTGTCCTATGTGCTCATTTGTCCTATTTTGACTACTATTCTATCATAAATTGTAAAAACAGCCCATCAAAGAAGGCTTTAAGACAGTGAAATCCTTTGTTGGCTGTCATGACCATCATGAGTCCAACATCTGTGCAAGAAAACATACACTCTGATGAAAATTAAGGCATCTTTCACTACTGACCTACTGAATTGTTAAATAGAGAAAACATTTATTCTGAAATTTGGACCTTATTCATGAAAAAAGATCAATAAAAAAGTGTGAAGCACCAAAGACAGCCCAAATTAAAGTTATTTTTTATATAATCAGGCTATTGTTATCCATAAATTTTCAATTTAAAATTATGAAACTCCACATTACTATTGTTAATTTATTTGTTTATTTTTTATTTAAATAGCCAAGTTCGAACTGGACAAAGTTGAATGTGCTGGCCAGTTTGTTATTTACCTAATAAATAATCCTAAGACAAAAATAATAAATCCTTTTTTCTAATTATAATAAATTAGTATTTTAAAGTTAGTTTTTTAGACTTACCCCTTTCACCAGACTGGCTACAGGCCTAAGCCTACATATATAATTTATTATTACTCACTTTGTTATTAACCTAAAAACAAAATGTAACTTTAAAATGTGTTTATATTAGTTTAGAGAGCAACCAAGTTCCCCCCATGTAATCCAGCACCAAAGTGTCATACAAAGTTTTTATTATTTTTTGGAATGCGAAAAAAAAAAAAAAATTCAATAAGATATACAAAAGGGGTATATATAGTCTCACATTATAGCAAAAATGGTAAAATTTACAAATTCCTGTTGTTTTTAAAGCCTTTTTGTAATAGAGTTAGAAACAGTTTCAATTTCTCCTCTACAAACAAAAAAAAATTAATTATTATTGCTTGAGCTGACAATACAAGAACATCAGAACAAAGTTCAAGGAATCACAGACAGATCGTAAAAAAGGTCAATAATATACATAGTCATAACAAAAATATATATAATCACATACAAATACACATAATACCTTTAGACAGAGGGAAAAATAATAATAATTATAGTATTAATAATTCATTCATTTTCTTGTCGGCTTAGTCTCTTTATTAATCCGGGATCGCCACAGAGGAATGAACCGCCAACTGATCCAGCAAGTTTTTACGCAGTGGATGCCCTTCCAGCTGCAACCCATCTCTGGGAAACATCCACACACACATTCACACACACACACTCATACACTACAGACAATTTAGCCTACCCAATTCTCCTGTACCGCATGTCTTTGGACTGTGGGGAAAACCGGAGCACCCGGAGGAAACCCACGCGAAGGCAAGGAGAACATGCAAACTCCACACAGAAACGCCAACTGAGCCGAGGTTCGAACCAGCGACTTTCTTGCTGTGAGACGACAGCATTACTTGCTGCACCACTGCCTCGCCTAGTATTAATAATAATACTAAAAATACTAAAGTAAACAAACTAATTGAAACAAATGAAATTACAAAGACACTTAAACAAATAACCACAAGGAAAGCAATTTAATTCTTAATAAGATGAAGTGATTTTAGGAGGGAGTTCAATTCTATTCTAAAATGAGCAAAGGATGGGTAATTTGCACATTTTTGTTTGTGAATGAAAAATTTGCCATATAAGATAACAAAATTATGATGTGTTTCAGAGGTTTATATTTTGGCATATTAAAATAAAAAATGTCTTTCAGACAAAAACAGTTCACAGGATTGGCAGAATCAAATATATGAGAACGTAGGAGTAACCAAAACTGCATCAAAAAACATCTATCTTCTCTGCTTGCTGTCAAGCTGTCACTGTTCAAAAATGTAGAAACACTATAATTTACCGGATAAATTTTATGTAAAATTTTAAAATGTAAAAGTCTTTTGCCTTGTTGGAAATGCAATATTTCCCAGGTAAAAGTCAGGTTCTATTCCAGCCTATATCCTCACACAAGGACCTCCAGTAAAACTTTCCTCAATAATTTTTTCTATCAAATTGAAAATTTGGACGCAGAAAGCTATTGTCACATTTCTTATCTAACAGACTGTCTCCTCTAAAAACCTACAAAGTCTCCAAACCCGCGTGACGTCACCGCGGGTGGGCGTGGTCTACAGGTGTGCCTCAGCAGTCCGTCGAAACTTGGAACAGTTTAATGTTGACAAACGCAGACAGTCACGTGACCTTCAACAATAGCCAGATTAGATGGGATCCTCCCACATGAAGTTTCAGGTTCCCTGCTACTCCTAAAACAAGCCTGAATCAAACTCATTCATTCCCCCTTTTTTCCCCACTCCCCAAATCGATTATGAGAACACCTGGGATTTTTATTTTCGGCATGGTGCTAGGACCTTGCGGCTGGATCTTGGAGCTCGTTTGCACGGTGGCACCAGCCTGGCGCACGATCAACAACATCAGCGGGGAGTCAATCGATCTGGTCCTCCAACAAGGATTATGGGACATCTGCAAGACTTACTCGTCGTCCCAGAACATCCTCTGCGGGCAGGTCGACACGCAGTACTTCAGCGCGCAGATCATCACCATCGCGCGGGGCTTGATGCTGTCGTCGCTAATCCTCAACCTTATTGGCATCGGTGTGGCATCTGCTGGAGTGCGGTGCTGGACTGAATACCCGCAGTGGACAGTGGCTGGGGTCGGGGGTGTCCTAATCTTCATCTCCGGGGTGCTCACCATCATCCCGGTGTCGTGGTACACCAACATCATGACCACCATCCCCGCCGCATCCACGGAAGTCCGCGTCGGGTACTGCCTGGTGCTAGGCTTCATCGGGGGCATCTTGGAGGTGCTCGGGGGTTTGGTGATGTCTATCGGCTTGTGTCAGAGATGTGGCAGAAGTAAGCCAGCTGATAGGACGAGGATAAACGTGGTCAGGTCCGCGCACAACCCAATGCCGCCGCCGGCGCGCAGAGACACGGTGCCCAGTGTGAGCAGTTTCAGCAGTGCCAGCAGCGCGCCCTATTACTCCAAACACACCGAAACAGACTTCTACAGAGCCAGAAAACCGGACAGCAGACCAGTGAACGCTTACCAAACACGACCTTACGATTCAGATCTATAGATTAAAATCATAACTTTGAGGCATGCAGCCTTATAACAACCGTCATTACATCTGAACAAATTTCAGTTTGGATATATTCTTATGGATGCCCGTTTATATTTGGAAATACAGACAATTTTATTTAACATGACAACTTTTCATAATTGTGAAATTATGTACCTGTTAATTAGCCTAATAGTTTCTGTATTTTGTGTTTTCTGCTTATTTGCGGTTGTGAATTGCATTATAGGCCTACTAGATGTTGATCTCTGCTTTGTCGACTTATGTTAAAAATGCTACTCTACAATTCAACATAGACACTTTTATTGACATTTTAGTAGTTTTAAATAATGTAATGTGTAATAAATAAATTTATTTAGAAACAAAAGTTTGTTAAAAAAAAAAACAGAAATGTACACTGAAACAAGGATTCAAAGATGGTTCTTTGGATGTACTTAAGTTAAGTGGTTGTAAACAATTTATTTGGGCTGAATTTAAACAAGAAAAATGTGGAACACCAACCAAATTTAACTTGTGTGTTTAAATTCAACCCATAAAAATAGTTTGCAACAATTTTGTAGAAATAATTTTTCAGTGTACCGTTTTTTACAAGGTTTTTGTACCATAATATACAACAACACAGACAGTATATCACTTTAAACTATTAAAAATGTTTAGAAAAGTCTTACAGAAGTCATAAAAGAAGAAAAAATCCTACTCTTCAGGGTTAAAGCTGTTGAAAGGTCCCATAATGCAATTCAAAAGCATGAATAATCAGGAAAAAATTTAAAAACATGGATCACAAAATATGGAAAACTGCTAATTTACGAATATTTTTTACACTGTAGATGAAGTGCCTTGCATTTATATTTATTATAAAGCCTAACATCTGGGTTTCAAAAGCAATGTCTTGTTCATTTTATTCATCAGGATATAGATTTTTAATAGGCCTATCTGTTCAACGCATAAAGACAGTTTTGAACTCTAGTGTTGTTGTCTGGAATTGTGGCAATAAGTTCAACTTATTTTTAAATCAATTACGTTTAAAGCAGTAATTATTCAGAAAAATATATAACAGAGAATTTGACCAATTTTGGGGAACAAAGAGCAGATAAAAACTGATTAGCTCCATATACTTGAAGCACAGTCAGGCCAATTAGATGTACTCAGTCTCTTTACACGTTCAAAACACTCTATCTATCTATCTATCTATCTATCTATCTGTCTGTCTGTCTGTCTGTCTGTCTGTCTGTCTGTCTGTCTGTCTGTCTGTCTGTCTGTCTGTCCGTCCGTCCGTCCGTCCGTCCGTCCGTCCGTCCGTCAGTGTATATATATATATATATATATATATATATATAGAACTAACTTTAAAACAAAATGCTCCCTTTGTAACTGGTTGGTTTGGTTCATGGCTTAAAACGTTTTAGTAAAGACCTCTGTTGGTAAAATCTTTTAGGCTACATGATAAGTCATAAATTTGGCATGTGTATCAATGCTTAAGTTCTTACAAGTTAAACTTAAAATTAAGAAAAGTAAAATTAGAAAAAAGTTTCCTGAAGTTAAATAGCCGTTTATTAGCTACTTTTATAGCCATGTGCTTCTTGTTAAACTTCAGTCAGTTCATTTCATGTTAACCATTATGTTGGTGTATTTTATGTGCTCATGGTCTGAATGTTTGTTCCCTATTTACAGAAAGGACATTGATTAACTAATTAACTAACTTCTTATGTTTTTCATGAACGTTGTTATTGTAAACTACTCAGTTATTGCAATTTGGCAGAAATGATGGTTGTCTGCATAAACTTTCTAGTCTAAGATTATTTCAAACAGCACTAACACCGTTATTTTGCTTTTATACTTTGCACTTTATATTGTAAAGCCCTCATGCTCTACCTTCAACGTGTTTTGTAGCACTAGTAGGCTAATGTGTGTAAATACATAGCTTATTAGGAACCTTTGCTGTTAAAATGCAAACATTCTTTTGAGGTTGTAAAACCACTTCACACATGAACAGATATGTGTGTTTGCAAAAATTGATGTCGTGACAAAACATGTAAATGAGGGTTCTTGTGCACAATAATGTTGTCATTGATTTCAACTCATTCATTTTAATAGAAATGACTGAAGGCTGTTTATTTACATGCATTATCATAATTGTGATGAATGAACAGTGTCTCAAAGCTAGCACATATGTTTACATGCATTAATATACTGAATGATGAAGTGATTAAATAAAAGGTCAGTTTATATGATGTGTATATTTGTTATTCATAACTATTTTATAATATACAGAAGTCAGAAACATAATAAAATATTTTTTATATAATATTTGGTCACACTTTATTTTAATGGTCCGTTTGTTGAATTTAAGTTACATTGCATCTACAAGCCAACTAATTATTATTAGATTATAAGTAGGCTGTTAGGTTGGGGTTAGGGTTAGTGTAAGTTGACATGTACTTGCAAAGTTTCTTATAGTCAGTTAAATGTCTGTTGAAGGAGTAGTATCAACAGATATTAAGCAGACAGTGTACTATTACTCAAATAGACCATCAAAATAAAGTGTTACTGAATATTTAAAATTATTTGCAAATGTTTGTTTCAAGTATGTAAACGCTAAAGCAGTTGCAAAAAATAATCAATTCTCAAAAAAATAAAACTTAAAATCGTTTGTCATAAATATACAAAACAGTTACTAATGCATAAAGATACAAAATATAAAACCACAAAAAAATCATTAATAAAATGTAATATGGTTACATTTTTAAAACGTTATGAAGAATGCTGGTTGCTGGTACACATTGACCTCCATATAGTATTCTTTTCCCCTAAAGTTGATGTGTTCTACCAATGTATTCTTCAAAAAATCTTCTTTGGTGTTCAACACATAAGAAAGAAACTCATAAAAGTCTAAAACCACACAAGGGAGAATAAATAGTATGTTTTTACTTTCATTTTTGGGTAAAGCAATTTAATTAACATTTTTGTCTTTACAAAAGACCACTGAAATGTTATTAAATATAAAAAATAGTTTGTATACCAAAAAAGTCAGGCATATTCAGGACAAGAATTACTTTAAAGCCATTTTTAAAATACTCAAGTATTGCAAAAAAGCTTCAATATACTAAATAAGTCATTTTAATTGTATTACGGGATGATAAAAATTCAACTCTAGTTAACAAATTTACTTATAGGAACATTTTAGTAGTTTGAAATAATATCATGTATAGGAAATAATGTATAAAGACATAAAAAAAAGTAAAATAACAGAAACTGTACTAGCAGCTTATCACAATGTTTTGTACCTTAATATACAAACCCAACCCAGACAATACATTACTTTATACTAATACATTTTTAATAAAGTCACTTTTTCCTACTTTTTAAGGTTAAAAGTTGTCAAAAGTATGATCAAGGTATGATCAAGCTATGGAATGGTCTACACAACAGCATCAGGAATGCCGCTTCTCTAGACAGAAACTTCAAGACTCACCTTTTTACCGTTGCTTTTAACTTTGGTTATTTTTATTAATTTAATCATCCAATTGTATTAAATAGTTCATATTTTATTGTTCTGCTTTGTTACTGTTTGCCTTAATAGAACTTTAGGTCTGAGAAAAGCGCACAATAAATAAAATGTATTATTATTATGAATTTATGGATATTTTTACAGTGTAGGATTGTACCTTTAATTGCTAAACAAATCAAATTGACCAACGTTTAACATAAAACTGTATCACCTTTCCCTCAACTATGTATCCCACAGCCCTGAATACTGGAATTCCGAGTTTGACGGAAATGCTTAGCAAAAGAAATGCAGCAGAAACCAGTTTGTGAGTTTGAAGGAGACATGCATCACCACACCCTTCAGATGCTAATCGCCTCCTCCAGGTTTCAGTGTGTTTCTTCTTAAGCACCAGACACACTTCACTCACCTCAGACACAGACAGCAGCTCAACCCTCAACCATGCGGACTCCGGGGATCCTGATATTCGGGATGGTCATGGCGCCCTGCGGCTGGGTCCTGGACCTGACCAGCACTGTTGCAACAAATTGGCGCACTGTCAACAACGTGCCAGGCTACTCTACAGATATGGTGGTGGGCCAGGGAATCTGGGACAGCTGCTTGACCTACTCATCAACTAGAACCCAAACATGCAACCAACAAGGCAACGACCAAATCTACTTCAAAAACCAAATCATTCCGATTGCTCAAGGAATGATGGTCGCATCCTTGATCGTAACTGCTCTCGGCTTGGTGGTGGCAACTCCTGGGGTTCGATGCTGGAGGGAAAAACCCAGATGGATACTGGCTGCGCTGGGTGGCCTACTTATTTTCTGTTCCGGTGTCCTGACCATCATTCCAATTGCGTGGTACACTCACATATTGACAAGCATCAATTCCACAATGGTCATAAGAAGCTCAACGACGACCCCTGACATCCGTGTAGGATACTGCATAATTTTGGGCTACATCGGAGGCATCATGGAGGTTCTCGGTGGTTTTGTGATGTTCATCGGGATTTGCTCCTGCTGCGGGGGACGGAATCGTGGAGAAAAGCCTCAACCCAAAACAACAGAAAGGCCTGTGCCCAGACCAACGGCTCAAACGAGGAGCTACAGACCAAGAAATGAGAGTCCAAGCAATTCCAGCAGCGTACCGTACTCGCAGAAGTCTCTGGACGATGACCTGGACTTCCCAAGAGCCAAAACCAGAGAGAGAGACAGAGGTAGAGGAACAGACAGAGGGAGAGATTTGGCATCAGTCAACGCATCCTACACTGGAAGGCCGTATGATGCTGATCTCTAGAGGTATTAACTTGGTTAAGACATACTGTGAATATTCCTTTACAATTTTGTGAGTGTTGATGACGAAGCTGTTTGAACAACTGGAGTGTAAATTCCTGGAATTGTTGTTACACCAGTTTTTTTTTTTTTACAATGTATAAGTACACATATTTTTGGAAGTATGTTTCATGAGAATACTAGCCTTTCTGCTTCTGTGTTTAACTGCAATTCAATGTCTTGTTTGATGTATATTTGTATGTATGAATTGTGAATTTTCTACAGCATTTTTTTACAAGTATACAAGTGTACTTTAAATGTTTACAGCAGTTACTGTTTGTGCTTTCCATTTGCACCCTGAAGCTAAAAAACTCTGAATTTGTACAATAGCAAAAAATGTAGGTTTAAAATCAGCTCTTGCACCTTAATGAACATATAATCGGTATCACATTAATATCGCAAGGTTCGATTTTATACCCAATGTCCTTTGAAAGCATTGAATGTGCAATATTTTCCATAGCTGCGGAAATACAGTACAAGCTAAAGTTAGTCATCATGGTTTCTGTAATGCAGTAAAACTAGTAATACTGGTTGTTTCAGTTTGATCTCCACACAAGATTATGGGTCATGTTTGAATTGTCAGGTGATTCATGAGTCAAGTGAACGATGAAATGATAGCAATGAAGAAGTAAACGTCTATGTTGTGTTATTTTCCTGTTTTTTTATTTGAAGAAAATGAGCGAGAAGCTGTTGTAGAACAATGAGCTGAGTTTGTACCTTCAGTCAGCATCAAAACAAACTTGTACCCGTTACATAAATTGACCTGCAGCACAAAACATGAAATATATTACGGCAATAAATTAGGCTAATTAATTATTAACTGTAAAACAGTTGCATGTGACAGCAACAAGGTGTAAATGAGGTAAAAAGCTTTCAGGAAGTAGGTGTAAGACTTTTTTTGCTGACTTTATTTTTCCTGTAACCTACCAGATTATGTTGTATTTTACACTGGGCTCAAGATTTGTGAGGTTTCTTAACAATCCAACTTTGTGTAAATGTTCTTTTCTTGTATTAAAGTACTATTTATTTAAAACAAATGTTGGTGTATTTGTTATGATAACAGATGGTATACGTACAGTATATAAAATATAGCTGCAAGCAGCAACAGGGTTCAAGCACTTGAGTACCTTAGGGCATAAAAATGTTTTTATCATTTAATAATCTTATTCAGTCATTGATGAAAAACAGCAGTTCATTTGCCAGCATTTTTCACAACTTGTGAACAGTTCTATTTCAACATTTATACACTTGTTGAATTTAAAGGAGGAGGCAGTTTTTGTTTAGGATTTTTGTGCTTTTGGGTATATTAAAACACACCTTTCAAATACTTTAATGATTTGATTGACAGCACTGGTTCTGGAGACGAATATACTCAGATCTAACACAGGTGCGTGCCTCATACTGTATGTCCAGAAATAAATGAAGCTGCAAGCACTTTGATCGCCCCCTGGTAGCTGGATAAAAAACAGGTCCTGACCCTTACATGTAAATGTAAGGGACTTAAACTAATAGTAAAACAAACCATACGCTAATTTCACACGGCCACCATTTTAAAACACGAAAGCGAGGCTGTGGTGGGAAGAAACCTGGAAGTATAGGATCAGCACAGTAAACGTTGAAACAACATGCTGTGGTCTTCAAACCTCCAGCTGTTGCCGCGATTTCAAAATGCAGATATGGTGTAAACTTCACTTTAATATTATTCGGTTCAGTTAATTTGAACAATTAAAAGCAAATTAGGCATCAAACAACCTCACAATCTCTTTAAGAGTAAAGGCCCGTGCACACCGAGACATTTTTTGCTCGCGATTTCCTTCGATGTTTAACGCCTTGTGACTAAATAAAAGGGCGCCAATGTGATTGTGCACACCAACGCACAAAACACCAGGCGCAAAAGCGTAATTTAAAAAAAAAACGCCTCATGCTCGTTTTTTTGTTTTTGTTTTGACGCGCGGCATCAAAACCTTCTCCACCAATCAGATCGGCACTTTTGTTCACGTGCACGGAGTTGCTGAAGTTACCGTAAACAGCACTAGGAGGCGCTCAATCGCAAAACTGTCAATGCGAGCGTACATTGAAGAAGATGCCCAGAGGCGATATGAACGTGCAGCTGCTTATTGCTCTGTGAACAATAATCATTTCTTCATCACTAGAGCTGGAGCTGCTACTTGAACCATCCATGCTTGTTCGAGTCACCAGTAACCTAAACAACAAGCATGTGAACTTCCTCTTTTCTTCTTCTTCTTTGTTATAATCGGGTGTCAAAAGCTTATAGTTGTGCAGCGCCATCTAACGTCAAAAGAGGGATTTAGCATACTCGTCTGCATGACGCCAGTGAAAAGCGCTTGGGTTTGAACACCGAAAAACGTCTCGTAAAACGCTGATGATAAACGCAAACTAAAAACGTCCCGGTGTGTAGGAGCCTTAATACGCTTAAATCCTCTTAGGTTTCAGTTCATGGCAGGAGGTAAACACCATGGGGACGCTTCCCTGCTTCAGCCTATGTAACCCGGTGAGTGATAAAACAATGGAGCCCTCTGTAGCAAACCCTTGTGTTGTCTTTAGCAGTGTTGTCACAGTACTGAAGTTTTAAAAGGTCCATTTTCTGCTTACATTTAAGTGCCGCCGAGCACATTCAGAAACAGCACTGATTTGCCATAGTGTTCACCAGTGCTCAACAGAAATGACTGTGATTGGCCCTTTAAAATGCATCGGAGCATTTTAAAGCTGTGATGATCAGTTAATTTATCAGAGGATCGCTCGCTTGTGTTTGCACTCTGTAAACAGTGGTGGGTGAACTGATGATCTTCTCGGCCAATCACAGTCATTTCTTTTGAGCACGAGAACACAATGGCAAATCAGTGCTGTTTAAGAAGGCCATCAACAGTGCTTAAATGTTAAAGGGAAATGAACGTTGAAATGTGTAATGACAAATTTGTGTCACTTTCTCTTAGCTGATAAGATAAACAGCCAGGTTCACAACATTCATCTGTGACTCAGGCAATACTTCCGGGTTTCTTCTCATCGCAGCCTCGATTTTGCTGTAAAATGGCAGCAGTGTAAAATCAGTCTATACCTGCCAACCCTTGTTTTTCCCGGGAGTCTCTGAATTTCAGACCCATCTCCCGCCACCCTCCTGTTTTGTTATTTATCTCAGAAAACTCACGTAATGAAACAAACACATCTACAATATAAAGTAAAATACATTTCCAAAAAAATTACTATGGCTATAGTTTTGTTTTTTTTGAGGTAGGTGATATAACGCTGATATATCTTTGCAATTTATGCAATAGAAACTATATATATTGTTTGTTTTTGGGGTCAGTATGAATTTAGGCAGTTATTTTATGCTACAAAAACAGGGGCTTGTCATTTTTTTTATTAAAAGGTAGTTTACAGCTTCTCTGAGCAATCCATCTGAGCTTCTAGACCACATTGGAGATTTAAATTTGAAGAATGTAATTTTTTCTAAAAAAAAGAAATTAACAGTTTTGTTTAGGAGCAGGACTGAAACATCTGCACCACCAATTATTCAATTCAGTTAAATTCATCTTTATTTCAATAGCGCTTTTACAATGTAGATTGTGTCAAAGCAGCTTCACATTGATGATTATAGTGAATTGAAACAGTGTCAGTTCAGTTTAAGTTCAGTTCAGTGTAGTTTAATATTTACTGCTGAGAGTCCAAACACTGTAGCAAACCCACCAATGTGCAGCTCTACAAGTCCCAAACCATGCAAGCCAAATTAAGCAGATCTGCTCTTGTTTGTGCTTATATCATATAAATCCTAAAGGTCTTTTAAATTCTGATATGAAACCAATTCAGATTTTCAAATTGATTGATCCAAATCTTTATTCATTCATTCTCTTTTCGGCTTAGTCCCTTAATTAATCTGGGGTTGTCACAGCGGAATGAACTGCCAACTTATCCAGCACATGTTTTACGAAGCAGACGCCCTTCCAGCTGCGACCCATCTCTGGGAAACATCCATACACACTAACTCACACTTATACACTATATACAATCTACCCTATCTAATTCACCTGTAGCGCCTGTTTTTGAACTGTAGGGGAAACCGGAGCACCCCACGGGAATGCAGGGAGAACATGCAAACTCCCCACAGAAATGCCAACTGACCCAGCCGAGGCTCGAACCAGCGACCTTCTTTCTGTGGGATGACAGTATAACATCTTGCACCACTGCATCGCCACCCAAATCTTTAGTAAAAGAAAAAACCTGTACAAAATGAAACTATGGACATTTTTGTGGTGTGCAATCTCTATTATAATGAGGCTAAATTTAAACATATACTTGATGAATATATATTTGCATATGCAACTATAAACATTAATGATGTGCTAAAACATTGCGACAAGTCACAGGTGAAGTAATTGTATTTTTTTAATCTCCTAAGGCCACATATTAGGGTCTGGGTAAGGTAGATACTGTAGTAAGCAAACATCAGTTCTGTTATGATATGATGACTGAGTGTTTCTTTGTAACAGCTTAATTAGTTGATCCTGGTCAACAGCGGTGGGATTTTACTAACCCTATAGGAGCACCACAAACTGGCAACATTAATGCAGTATGGCAAGGTATCTAGTTAATTGTGCCACAAGTGACACTAAATGTATATGATGGAAAAAAATACAACAGAACAAAGTATGTTGCACGGCATTGAACAATTCTGCTTATTTTGCACGTCTCTTTTGACATAAGTGATTTACAGCCACAAATGGGACATTTTTTAATGCGTTTTGCTTATTTGTTTACAGCAATGACATTTTGTAGCATTGTTTGACTAAAAGTCTCAAAGTGCAAAAAATGCCACTGCTATAATTTCAATGTCAACACATGCAATATGGGCATTATAGTCCAGGTTGGATAGACTTGCGCAGCACAGTACTTGTTTAGTTTAAAGGCAAGCTTAAACAAACATACACAACAATGGTGGAGTATGTGGTAGTGTCAGAACCCCCACCACCACCACCACTTCACGATAGCATTACTTATCGTATCCGGTTCTTCATAAGGCTAAAGAAGTAGTATTTCAAATTTTAATTGACATTTACCCATCTAATAGTTTTTTTATTTGAAACATTTTACTGGGGAAACAATTCATGCAGTTTTTGTGAGAAAGATATTGAAAGTGTAGAACATATGTTTTTTCACTGTGAAGTTATAAAACATTTTTGGATGGAATTTCAAAACTGGCTGCATTCCAAACAGATACAAATACAATCTTTAACTGTGGTCTCAATCAAAGTTGGTATATTTTTGAAGGATAAAGATCTAGGCTTTTTGGTAAATAATCTAATAATTCTAGCTAAACACAAAATTTGTAAAGGTGAAACCCCATTTCAATGGATGGAGGAATGATCTGAAAATGCTCGTAAGATCTCTACACTTCATAAGGAACAAAAATGCCCGAAAATTTTTACATGCCTTGAACTCGTTTCTATTACTTGATTAAGACTCTCACGCCCTACTTTTTTATTTAATTGTATTTATTTATGTTTTTTTGTTTTGTTTTTTTGTGTTATGTTCCTAGTAATATACTTTTATATCAACACTAACACTATAAGTATTGGATTGTTGTATATGTCGTAATGGTTTGTACTTGTACATACTTTGCGATAGCATTGAGCATCTGCCCCTGTGAGGCTCTGTGCACGGGCCTGGGTAGTGTTGTTGCTAATCAATAGTTTCTTTACACTTCTTTAGCAAAAACTGCCTTAATTTCACAATTACAACCAATATCAGGGACACATACACATACAGCAAATTTGAAACACAAATGAAAAATCTACATCTACATGGAAAAACAGAGGAAGACATTAGCCAACAAAAAGTTTATCATGACTTCCAACATGTACTGCTTATTAACAAGCTGGCAGTGCCATCTAATGGCTCATCATCAATAATACATTTTTTGGCAGCTTTCATAATTTGTTGTAAATGTGTGCATGTGAATTTTATACAACTTATAAAAATACAAGGGAATTTGTTCTTGTAGTTATTACTACATGATTGTCTTGTAAATGTAGCCTCAGTAAAAAACATAATTTGCATGATTAAAGACACAAATTGGGAAATAAATAATAATTTAATGTGAAAATTTAACACAAAGAACTCTTAATCAGTCAGTGAGTTTGCCTGAAATAAGACAAAATTTAGCAGTGAATTATACAAACAAAGCAAATTTTTATTACAGGGTTTCTGCAGGTTTCACCAAGTCAAATTCAGGACTTTAAGATCTTTTTATGACCATCAAGAATGAAATTTTTAGACTTGCATAAGGGCTAAACACTAAGGTCCAGCAATAAAGAAAATGACTTGCCCCATCAAAAAACTAATTCTAATTTCTTGGCAACATATTGTAATAACCATGTCAAAACAAGAAGACCTTTAATATTTTTTAAGTTAACGTAAATTAAAACTTTCATAAACTAAATGTATGCACAACAGACTGTTATAATATTAGTTATAAACAGAGTTTTAAGTTTTATTGAGATGTAATGTCAGTGATTGGATGCACGTTTAATCGATCGGGTAGCTTTGCATAAACAAAAGAATAAAATAACACCGGTTTATAAATTATTTAAGACCTTCAAAACAACATTTCAGTCAATTTAGAACTTTTTAAGGGCTAAAATTTAGTTTTTGGAAATTAAGACTGCAGACACCCTGTATTAGAAAATTCTGTACAGAAAACTAATAATGTTTAAATCAATCCTTTATGCAGAGAAAACAGGTGTGTAACTTTTAAAGTAAAACTAAAAGCAAGAGAGAGCCATGAGAATAGTGACTGTATATCATGAGCGCTTCAAAGAAAAAGACTCATCAATCAGTCTACGAATCTCATCTGCTTTCAGTCATTCAGACTCTCCTGTCTCGCATGAACTAAATCTAAACCCACAATAGCACTGAAATGCTTGGCATGTCTCAGCAACTAGTTTCTTTTATTTGAATGCACATGTATGGCCCCCGGCAAGTACAGGAGAGAAACCATCCAAAAAATGTTGTGAACTGCATGTGTTTTTGACACAAAGGGCACCTATGATGAAAATTAACTTTTGTAAGCTGTTTGAACAGACATGCGTGTACAGTTGAAGTCAGAATTATAAGCCCCCCTGAGTTATTAGCGCCCCTGTTTATTTTTTTCACCAATTTCTGTTTAATGGAGGGAAGATTGTTTCAGCACATTTCTAAGCATAATAGTTTTAAAAAACTTATTTCTAATAACGGATTTATTTTATCTTTGACATGATGACAGTAAATAACATTTTACTTGATAATTTTCAAGACACTTCTATACAGCTTAAAGTGACAATTAAAGGCTTAACTAGGTTAATAAGGTGAACTAGGCAGGTAAGGGTAATTAGGCTAGTTATTGTATAATGATGGTTTGTTCTGTAGATTATCAAAAAAAAAAAATTAGCTTAAAGGGGCTAATAATTTTGTCCCAAAAATGTTTTTAAAAAAATTAATAACTGCATTTATTCTAGCTGAAATAAAACAAATAAAACTTTTTCCAGAAGAAAAAATATTATCAGACATACTGTGAAAATTTCCTTGCTCTGTTAAAAATAATTTGGGAAATATTTTAAAAAATAAAATAAAATCAAAAGGGGGCTAATAATTCTGACTTCAACTGTATGTACTGTGTGTCCAGGGTCATACTGGAGGTTTTTGGAATTTTGGACGTCAAAATAGGATCCAAATCCCTGCAATTCTGAGACCCACCACAACGTGACGTAGGAGTGTGGTTTTCCCAGGCCACCGAATTGACTGACAGCCGCGTAATAACATGCCTCCATAGTAACAAGTATAATTATAGTCACAAGACAGAACTAAAACAAAGCAACTGGCAATAAAAGATCTGTTCATCTCTCTGTGATCATCTGCACCCAAAGAAAGAGTTTTGCAAGGTTAACAATTTTTTAAGACATGTTTGTAATAAAGTCATTCTTGTCTGTCACTGTACCGTTTATCTACATGAAGGCTACATGTGTCAGTGCAATACAGAGAGATCTCTATGGCTCTGACATGCAAGAGGTATGGGCGGGCAAGGAGAACCACAGGCACAGGCAATGAAAACTGCTACAGTGTGTTTAGAGCTGAACATCCCCATGTTCAGAAGGTATAATAAATAATATGATGAGTATTTTGAGCTGAAGCTTTATAGACACATTCTGGAGACACAAAAGACTTATCTTAAATCTTGAAAAAGGGCAAAACAGGTGCCCCTTAATATAGTTTGTTTAAACATGGAGTACATTCCCATTCTTCAGTGACACTCCCATTCTTCTAACAACAGCACAGCTTGAATTCAGGCACAATGAATAGAAAACTAATGTCATGCTGGAATGTTCTTTCAAGTGACGTGCAAGTGATGTGTTGACTGTACTGTTTAGGGAGGGAAACAAAAAGTAAGAGAGTAAGTTATTTTATTGTAGTCAAAGTTGATTTGAGTGATGATGGTTTAAGCAATGCAAAACGAAATACCTTTTCTATTGCATGTTGCATTAAGATATGTTAAAGATGCTCTCCATTTCTTAAGGCTTCTTCAAACGCCATCTTTCTGTTGACAAAAATATCAAATCAGTTTTGAGATTTTGTCATTATAGCAAATCAACTCAAACATCAAGTCCATTTACAAAGTTTTATTTCATTCCATTTCCTTAAAATGCTCAGTTCATAACATGTTGTTAGAAATATGTGTTTATTTCTCTCCCAAAATTTCTGTTTAACGGAGAGAAGATTTGTTTAACACATTTCTAAACATCATAGTTGCAATAACTCATTTCTAAAAACTGATTTATTTTATCTTTGCCATGATAGTAAATGTATTTTACTAGATAAAATATTTTGCAAGATATTTTTAAGACACTTCTATACAGCTTTACGTGACATTTAAAGGCTTAAATAGGTTAACTAGGTTAACTGCAGTTTTGGGTTATTAGGCAAGTTATTGTATAACGATGGTTTGTTCTGTAGATTATCGGGGGGGGGGGGGGGGGGGGGGGGGGGAATAGCCTAAAGGGGCTAATAATAATTTTGACCGTAAAATGGTTTTTAAAAAATTAAAAAACTGAATTTATTCTAGCCTAAATAAAGCAAATAAGACTTTCTCCAGAAAAAAATGTTATCAGACATACTGTGAAAATGTCCTTGCTCTGTTAAACATCATTTTGTAAAGAAAAAAAAAAACTATTCAAAGGGGGCCTAATTATCATTATACATATACACACACACACACACACACACACACACACACACACAAGCACACATGCATATAAACGCAATATTTTCCACATTTCAATGTAAAAAAAGTATTTAAAATATTATGAATAAGTTAGGAACAAATGAATAATTTGGATATTTGCACAACTTGACATTTTACAAATTGAACTACGCTTTGCATAAGTTTAATTCAGTACATGAGGTCGATTGTGACATCTTTTTTTCTCTTCATGATTTGGTTGCACCACATGGATCTGCTTTAGATATTAACAAGCAGTAAATGAGGCAATAATAAAGATTTTTAATCAGTATGCATGTGTTTAAAGCTTACAGATGTATGTTTTATGCAATGGTTTTGATTCCTTCTTTGATGTTATCAGTTTACCAGTTTGTCATATATATAGCATTGATATTATGCAGCAAACAAGGATTATCAATAGATTTTATTCAATTTGACCATAAATGCTGATCCCATCACTCTACGTTTTAAAATAGATCTTTGATGAATCAGTTTTCTGTTATTTACTTCTGTTCAGATATCTACAAAATACAAACACTGAAAAGCTGCTTAATTACACAGTTCTTTTTATGTTTAACAAAGAATGAAAAAAGATCTTTGCTGAGAGCATGTCTGGCGTGTTTGTATGTTGCATGCATAGACTGCTTTTTTATAAATTTTTTTAAATTTAAAAAGCAATTAAAAAAATTAAATATACAAATCCTTACCTCTTTTTTGCTTTTTTCTTTTGACGGAAAATAGCAACAGCAAAGAACAGGACAATGGAGACAATTATGACAGTCAGGACACCAAGGGTGAGCGGGACCGCCAAAGAATCATTGATTGTTTCCTGACAGGTTTTCCCAGTATATCCCAGCCTACACTCACACACAGGCTCTTCATGCACCAACACACAGCTGCCAAACTGACATGTGACATCAGCACATGCATCCGGTTGTCGAGACACACCACCATATTTATCCAGAGGACTCATGGCAGGTACAGACATGCTGAACTGAAGCAGAAAAAGGAAGGAAGCACTCAGAAACTGCATAAACAAATTTTGATTCAAGAAAAACTCATAGCTCAAAAAGGTTACAAAAACATGTTTTTTGCAGCGATGTCAAAGAGGATCCATTTTTAAATGTTTTTTTTTTCTGGTTTAAAAAAGACAGAATTGTTAGTGAACATCAGAGGACCCTTTCCATTATATAAAAAGAACATTTGTTTTTAAATATTACAAATAAGTAGGATAACCTAGCAACACCCCCCCCCCCCCACCAAAAAAAAAGCTGTGCTCTAGGAAAGGTGAAATCAGACGTAAACAATTACACGTAAATGGTTTTCAGGATATTAACAAACAAAGCAAAATACTTGAACAATAACATATTATTAAATTAAATAAAGGATAAATAAACTTTTAAAAAATTAACAACAAATTGTGTATATATATATATATATATATATATATATATATATATATATATATATATATATATAAGCAATGTATTCCTGTTTAAACAGAAATTTGAATATATCACTTGACAGTCATTACAATATGCTCAGGAAGCATCTATCATTATTATAAATGTTGAGGAAAAAAATGGAAAATTGGGTTCAGAGAGTTCAAAAGAATATTTCTTTGAATTTGTTTGCATATTATAAATGCTGACAAATTAAATCAATTGAAAGCATCATTGCTTAATAAAACATTAATGTCTTGAAAAAAATAGTAGTAGATTGACATTAAATTTATTCAGTTATCCTTATTTCATCAATTTGAGCCTTAATCTTTTTTTAACAAGAACTAATTTAAAAACAGCTCTGAGGTAAGAGCCTATGCATTATGTTAAGTCTTATTAAACATTAATTATTTAGAAAGACGTGATACAATAAAATGGTCAACTTTTACAGAGAGGTAATCTAATTCTTTTAAAGCAACTTTTAAAAGTTGTTTAACATAAAACATTTACATTATTAACAACTTCCTAAGCCACAGGAACTACAGCAAAAGAACAAATACTTACAATTTTGACGTCAAAGGTGGAAAACAGTCAAAACCAAAACTGGAATTCAATGATGTAGATCCCCAGCTTTATACAGAGGAGTAAAGAGAGCTGAAGGCGCCAATGTTCCCAAGCACAAAAACAGACCCACCCATTTACCGCAGCACAGGTAAACTTAAAAAAACCGGACTCCTGTCCTGTACCACTTTAGCTTACAAAACATATATGGGCCTGGTGAATATACAGTAGCAGCAGTAACAATTTGACGACATTTAAATCGGTTGCTTGTGTGTCCGCGTCATGCGGGCGTCGATAAACTGTGAGCTCCGATGTCCCTCCGCCCTTATCTGTTCCTCATCGCGGCGCCTTTATGTGATCACGTGAGTGGACGATTAGTCATTCTACAGAAACCACGTCCAGATTGGTATGGCAAAATGTCTTAAATTTTAAAAATTTAAATTAGACCACATTTGAATCAATTTGCTTTTAATTTTATGAAAACTTGGACCGGTTTTTATGATTGCTCTAGATATTATTTCAATATCCTAAAGGCTACCATTTTTGCCACTGGTGTTTACCAACATTATTCAAAGGTCCATATTAAGTTCAGCACATGTAGTCATAATTACAGGGAAAAAAACACGATTAAACAACAAATATGGAGCATGTTTGATTTGTTTTAAAGGGGGCCTATTTTGCAAAAAATCACATTTATAAGGGCTTTAAAGAAAGTTGCATGGCAACAGTCTGAATATAATCAGCTACTAATGGTAAATGTTTGTATTAACTTTGCTTTTTATAATCACACTTCATAAAAACTGCAAATCTGCAAAAACACTTCAACATTCTCCCTTTGTACATGCCAGTGGCGTGAATGAAGAAGTAAACCAGTCCAGTTCATCAAATCGTTCCTGACACTGAGGTGTGCCATCCCCCACCTGCTTTTTGTAGATACACATCCTCCCATGAGCACAGCAGAACTGATCCAGGAGCAAACATTGGTTAAAGTCCTAAATCTCAAAATCAGTTAGATTTTTACTCATGAATTGTGCATGCTTTACAGCGGTATGGACAGCCACATGAATGTGCAGGACACACTCATGCCCATCATTAAAGGGTTTAAAGACAACGCTTGGGTGGGTCCAGAGTTTGAGTTTTCAGTAGCCATAGTGAGACATCCATCCTCAGATCCATCACACCAAATCTCTCAACACACTTATATCCTTAAAGAAGTCACCTAAACCAAAGTAAAAAGATTGTCACTGCATGACTTCTAAATGTAGCCATATTTAGAGAAGTTCCTCAGGTAAATTTCACACTAGTAATTTAGGGCATGTTAAAAATCGTACGAAAAGTTTAAATGCACCCAAGATTAATTGTTATAAGAATGTCTAAAAGCATGAACAGTGTGAACCATTAATTAAATTTACTTCGGAAATTACTTTACAAACACTAAACCCCTAAAGTGAATTCTTTTAAAAATGATCTTCCTACAAGAGTACCTGTTTGGCCATCTGTCAAAACAAAAGGTTTCATCAAATCCATCAGGTATTTCTTGCCATTACAGAGACTAGTGGGAGGGACACAGATTAACCCGTCACGACAACACAGAAGGACTTTCACATTTCATCACCTTTGTTGGGTAACCCAGGTGAACCTGAGGACAACTCAACCACCACATCAAGGTTTTGTCAACAAGGTAAAGTTTAAAGGGAAGTCAGGCAAAAGGCATTTCATATTTAAAAAGGCAAAGAATTAACAGATTTATGAAATAAGGAAACAATTAGTAAGAAACTAATGATATATTAGTTAATTAAAGCATGTGGTCTTTGAACTCCTTAAGCCAGCGATGCACTAAGTTAACTTCAAAGTATTAGTGGCAATGAAATCGATCCGTGTTGTCACCTCGCATTGGCTGCGTCTGGTCCCGTCTGGACCCCAAAACCATGTGTGAACACATGTTCTGCACCGGAGTAAGCAGATGTATCTGCACCTGCAGGTGGCAGTATCTGTAGTCATTCCATAATGGGAAACCAGAAATAGTGCTGCACAAGGTACACACCATAAACAAGGCAACGTTTGCATACCATTTTCACAGTGACTCTCATTCAACAGAGGGATTCACTTATGCAAATATGCTTGATGCTCTGATAATTAATTTTCAGATGATTTATTTTCTTTGAATTGATACTAGCCTTTCGTGTATACAAAACACTCTTATTTACTTACATTTTGTTTGCTTTTTAAAAACACCTTTGAAGGTACAACATGTTTAGAAATTACATAGAATAAATGCATTTCCTTATCAAGCAATATTTACCTTGATTTTTCTTCAAGTGTTGTTGATAAAAATTTAAATTCCCTCCATCTTGAAGATGTTCTCAGATGGCACTATTCATTTTCATAGAAACCACATGAATAATCTTTCACACAAACTTTATAAAGCAACATTACAGTGTTGTGGTGGAAATTACAAATATACTGTGCGACAGCTATTTTTTCTATAAAAAAAATTAATTGATAATAGTCTCACATTAATAACTATAAAATATTGAACTTATTTCACTAGTGCTTCATTAAGATACATTAATAGATACCAGATAAATAATATTTTAAAATGTTATTTTCATTGTTGAAGTTTAAAACTCTGGGTGTGCGACAAGGTGAAAACAGTGATTTTGACTACTAAAAGGAGGTTGAATAATATGAAAAATATATAATAGAAAGCTGGTATTTTTTTAAAGTAGGTTTTATTGTTAGTTTGACAAAGAGAGAGGAATTTGAACAAAAATTATATCTATTTTTGCATATATGATTGAAGGACATACAAGTGCCAGTAGTGGAAGAATTACCCTTATGCTTGTACTCTGATTCATCAACCAATCCAAGTCAACATGTGGAGATCATCAAACAAACATGGCAGTAGCTCACAGATGGCCTGATGAAAACCAAACCAAACTCTAAACCAGGCCTAAACTACAGCCACAATGTAAGAGGATCAATCACACACTTGCCAAAAATTTATACACTTCTTTCTCGATTACACTGAAACATCCCTGTGAAGGAATCAGCATGACAAGAACAGGTGTGTTGGAGTAGTTACTGGTAATACGGTTTAGTTTTTAGAACATATTCATATTTTTTGAAAACAATCTCACCAGGATTGCACTGAAGTTCACTATCTTTTTCATCAGATCCATTCCTACAGTCCCTGTCTCCATCAGATGACTGTACCGGACACACTTATCCAACCTCATCAGAACCATAGTGAGAGTGGCCATCACAAACATAAGCCTTAGCAATACACTTCCTCCGGTCCTTACAGAGGAAGTCACCTTTATGATCAATAGAGTCAGATTACATATTTTGGTTAATGGCTGGAGAAGAAGAACAACTGGAGAGAAGGTAAAATAGACTATGATTAAAGGGTAGAAAAATAAGAAGGTGGTATGTCAGATATGGAAAAAGAACAAGGAGATCCATAAGGAAAGAAAGAGCAAGGTAAAAAAATGTGGAGAAGAACAAAATGTCACAGTAAATCTGTACTGGTACTTACCTTAAGACTTGTTTGGAGGAAGAATGGGAGAAAATTACACCTAAAACACTTTATCACTTGGTGTCCCTAAACGTCTTGTAAGTGTTGTGAAATAGAATGGGAACATTAAAAAGTAGTAAATGCTTTACTGTTGTAACAATTTTTGAAATGTGTTGCAAGAATAAAAAAAAACAAAAATCATGAAGAGCACACTTTTGTATTGTCTGCCATGAATTACAAGTCAACGTAAATTCAGAAATGAATACTTTCTTTTTTTTATTGCATTTTCTACATGTCCCAACTTTTTATGGTTTGGGATTGTAAATTTTTCAACCAAAAAACTAGACATTTAATGCATTTTCCCTTCTCAAACAACAATGACATTTTAAAGACTAAAAAAAAACCCAATAACTTTAAACAAAAGTTTCAAAATGCAAGTATGCCACTGCTATGGTTTTAATCTAATATCACCCAATTTGGACATATTACAGGTTAGGTATGTAGACTTGCGCAGTGCAGTACTTGTCCATTTTAAAAGGCAAGTGCAGACAAACAAACAGCAACAGTGGTTTTTTTTTTTTTTTTTTTTGCTGCTCAGGAGTTAAAAAAACTGCATTTACTTCACAAATATTACAACCAGTATGAGAGACATACACACACGGCAAACTTGAAAAACCCTCACTATTGACGGAATATGTTTTTGGATTGGCACAGAACACAGGAAGACATTAGCCAACAAAGAGTTTATCGTGATTTTCCTACAGGTACTGTTTACTATAGAGCTGACAGTGCCATCTAATTGGCTTGGCATAATACATTTTCAACAGCTTTCACAAATGTTTGTAAATGTGAATTTTATACAACTTCAAGAGTTCACACTTAGCTGATGATTGATTATAAAGCTTGTTTGGCACGCTGTCCCGGGAGAGAGCCCTGAGCTCATAAGATCCTCGAGCCTGGTGCTCCCTCCAGTTGCAAGACGAGAGGAGAGTTTAAGCTCAGGTAGATCTCGAGAACTCCCCTGTCATGGTGGCTGAAGAGCAAAAAGTAGGTGCTCTTTAAAGAGATAAGTACTTGGTTGTAGCATGTCTAGGATGTTGATTTGTATAAGTCTATAAACTTAGGCTGCATGTTTTTGGATGGTGGGAGGAAACCTACGCGAATACAGGGGGAACACGAAAACTTCGCACAGAAACATCAGCTGGTTTGGGAAAGACTAGAACCAAAGACGTTCTTGCTGTGGGGCAACAGTGCTAAGCACTGGGCCACCGTGCCACCCATCTAGGAAGGAGGAGGGGTGGAAGAGGGGGATTCTTCAAAACGAAGAGAGCTGTGATACGTAACTTAGGGTATTAATAGTAGCTTAGGAATCGTCTGATTGGTACATTGTCAATTGGATAATGCGGGTCCAGCTGAAAGCAATCATAAGCACGCGATCCTCTCGAAATTAGTTTATGAATAAACTTCACTTATAAAAAAGCCAGGGAATCTGTTCATTTAGTAGTTTTTCACTACATCATTGTCGTACATAGCCTCAATAAAAACATAATTAGCATGATTAAAGACACAAATTGGGAAAAATTAGATAAAATAATACTTTCATGCGAAAATGTATCACAAAGAACACTAAATCAGTCTGACAGTTTGCCTGAAATAAGACAAAAATTAGCAGTCATAAACAAATCTTTATTAGAAAATACTGTACAGAAAGCTTGTAATGTTAATATAAATATATCATGCACAGTAAACAGTTGTGTAATTACAAAATTAAAAGCAACAGAGGGCCTTGAGAATAGTGTGACTGTATATCATGAACACGTCAAAGAAAAATACTGATCCATCAGTCTACGAATCTCATCTGCTTTCAGTCATTCAGACTCTCCTGTCACGCATGACCTTAATCTAAATCCACAATAGCACTGAAATGCTTGGCATGTCTCAGCAACTAGTTTCTTTTATTTGAATGCACATGTATGGCCCCCGCAAGTACAGGAGAAAAATAATCCAAAAAAATCTTGTGAACTTTATGCACTTTTTGACCTAAAATACTTTTTGTGGAGTACATTCAGTGACACTTCTATTCTTCTAACAACAGCACAGCTCTAATTCATGCACAATGAATATAAATTTAAATGTAATGCTAGAATGTTCTTTCATGTAGCGTGTAAGAGATGTGTTGTCTGTACTGTTTAGAGAAAAAAAAAAGAGAACAAGTTATCTTTTTGAGGTCAAAGTTGATTTGAGTGAGAGCAATAATGATTTATGTGATGCAGAACGACATACCTTTTCTCTGGAATGACGCATTAAGACATGTCAATGACACTCTCTATTTCTTAACAAAGCTTGTTCAGCCGCCTTCTTTCTGTTGATCAAAAGATCAAATCAGTTTTGATATTTTGTCATTATAGCAAATCGACTCAAGCATCAAGTCCATAAACACAATTTAATTTCATTTTGCTTTCTTAAAATTTAAATTTCATAACATGTTGTTAGACATATAAATGTTCAAAAGCTTTTGTAGCCTGCCACTGCACAGTAAATGTTGTGTGGTGTAAGCATTTAGTAAAAACAAACTTATTTTCATTGGTACCCTATAAACACTTTGAGGGTATTTACATCCAAATCATGTAAACGGATGCATATGCATAAACAGTTTGCATATGTGCCTCTCACCTGTTAAGGGACCAAAAGTAATTTGACAGAAGAAGAATTATAAATCAAACTTTTACTTTTTTTTTAATACTTGGTTGCAAATTCTTTATATCCCTGGGTTTCATTCCTGGTGGTGCTCTGCCAGGCCTCTACCGCAACTGTTTTTAGTTCTTGCTTGCTCTTGGGGTATTTTCCCTTCAGTTTTGTCTTCAGCACATGAAATACATGCTCAGTTGGATTTTGATCAAATTGACTTTGCCATTGCATAACATTCCACTTCTTTACCTTCAAAAACTCGTTGGTTGCTTTTGAAGTATGCTTTGGGTCATTCTCCATATGCACTGTGAAGCACAGTCCAATGAGTTTTGAAGAATTTGGCCAAATATGAAACTAATACCCTTGTGAAGGGTGTTTTCTTCACCAGGGAAATAATTCTTTGGTTATCCACCACAGTGGTTTCTGTGGTTTTCCAGGTTTTTTGGTGTTGCTGAGCTCACTGTTGCATTCTTTGTTTTCAAGAATGTTCCAAACAGTTGTTTTGGCCATGCATGATGTTTTTGCTATCTCTCTGATGGGTTTTACTTTTACAGCCTAATGATGCTTGCTTGACTGAGAATGACAGCTCTTTGGATCTCTTCAGTTGACAGTAAAATATTTCAAATGCAAAAAGCATACTTGAAATTAACTCTGGACCTTTTATCTGCTCATTGTAATTGGAACAATGAGAGAATAACACACACCTGGCTATGGAACAGCTTAGAAGCAAATTGTCGAATTGCTTTTGGACTCTTAACAAGAAATAAATAATTGATTTCTGCTCTCTTCATTAGTTTCAAAAAACACAGTTTTTTTTATTTACAACACTTTCTTAACAACAACACAAAAGCAACATAAAACCTTACACATACTGCACCTTGGGAACAAAATAACAGAACATTTTAGCGGTATTAAAATCGTGATTTTTCTAAACCGTAATTAACTTTAAAACCGGTTACCTTACCATGAGGCTTGTGTATGTATGTATGTGTATGTGTGTGTATATACACACACACACACACACACACACACACACACACACACACACACACACACACACACACACACACACACACACACACACACACACGAAGTGAGAATTATTAGCCCCGTTTATTTTTTTCCCCCCAATTTCTGTTTCATGGAGAGAAGAGGTTAGGGTATTTGAGCAAGTTATTGTATAATGATAGTTTGTTCTGTAGAATATCAAAAGTGTTTTTTAAAAAAATGTAAAACTCTAGCCAAAATAAAACAAATAAGACTTTATCCAGAAGAAAAAATATTATCAGACATACTGTGAAAATTTCCTTGCTCTGTTAAACATAATTTAGAAAACATTATATATATATGAGGTCATGTTAGACTTTCTCATTGTCCGTCATTTTGACGGAGAGGGTTATAAAAATTCCGTCATAACCTATTATTGATCGTTATTTAATTTGCAGACTTTCTGATCGCTTTTTTCATTCATATTTTAATAATGAACTTGCACAATGAGCATAATAGGCTAAATTATTCATTTATTTATTTGTCAATTGAACAAAAACTTTTATCTGCCATAACTCATATCTTCCTCCTGCGTTAACCTGAACTGGGTGCTTGCCTGTGCGTAATCAAACGCATCAAGGGAGACTGATGCAGAGGCAGTTGTCATTCAATTCTGTGTCTTTGTCTCGGAAAGTTGACTTCTCGTAACCAAAGACCAGGATAATAGCACCACTACAGCTAGCGTTTTGTAGTTAAAAAACATTTCTCCTAAGCTGTGATCAGAACTAATTTTGCTGGATTCTCTGAATGTGGGATTTCACGATCCTGCAAGCACTTGTTTCACAGGGAAAAAATACTAAAGCACACGCTCCTTCTGCACCAGGGGCGCGGCTGCACCCCTAACCCCTCTGCGTTTGGTAGTGCTCACAACGCACTCAAAAGCACCTGACCACCTTGATTGGTTTGTAACAGCTGTCGGTGACTGAGGACTTCCTCTTTTTTTCCCTTTATTATTAATATCACAACTATTTGGCCTTTAAAGAAATTTCTCACAGTCAGCTGCTGTGACATTTTCGCAACTGTACGCAGCGGTGACAAAGAGACAAAACAAGGACAATCGCCATCAGCTGGAAAAGAGTGGGAATTTTATTTAGCTACAAATTACAATTGATCACCCTCAGCATAATCCGTCAAAATGACAGATCACATTCAGATTTTTCCGTCACTGCTGAAAAAAAATCTGTCAATGTCTGTCAAATATTCGGTTATTGCGACCTCGGATATATATATATATATATATATATATATATATATATATATATATATATATATATATATATATATATATATATATATATATACACATATATACATATATATATATACACTAGCATACATTAATATTAGGATATTATTAATTTGAATATTTGCACAACTTGACATTGGGCAGACGTACTGCTTTAAATATTAACAAGCAGTTATGGAAGAAATAATAAAGACTTTTTATTATTTTATTATAGAGAGTATAAATTTGTTTAGGAGTCATATATGTATGGTCTATATAATGGTTTTGATTCATTCTCTGATGATATCAGTTTACTGGCTTGGCATATAATGCAGAAAACAAGGATTGTCTATAGATTTTATTCAATTGGGCAAAAAATGCAGATCCCATCACTCTTTATGCATAAACTGCCTTTAAAAAAAAAAAAAAAATTCTTAATAAATTCAAAAGTTATTAAAAAATACAAGGTCTTACCTCTTTTTTGCCTTTAGCTTTTGACAGAAAATTGCAATGGAAAATAACAGGACAATGCAGAAAATGGTGACAGTCAGGACGCCGAGAGTGAGAGGGACAACCAGAGTCTCATTGACTGTTTCCTGACAGGTTTCCCCAGTATATCCCAGCATACACTCACATACAGGCTCATCATGCACCAACACACAGCTGCCAAACTGACATGTGACATCAGCACATGCATCCGGTTGTCGAGACGCATTGCTATCTTTATCCAGCGGACTCATGGCAGGTACAGACATGCTGAACTATGAAGCAAAAAAGAAAGCACACAAAATCTGCATAAACAAATGTTGATTCAAGAAAAAAAAAGTTGAAGTTCAAAAAGTTTACAAAATCACCTTTGTTGTAGCAATGTCTAGGCATGGGACTATAACTGGTTTCAAGGTATACCACGTTTTGGAAAAGTCAAGGTTTTAAAACGTTCAAAGCTTTCTGCAATATCGTTTCTAAGATATGTGTACATTTATTTTTTTAACAAGTTTTTCACAACGATTTTAGTAAGTTTTTTTAGGGCAACAAAATATTCAGCAATAAAAGGAACATCAACATCAACTGTTACAAAAAATTATGGGGAAAAGTTGATTTTAACCCAAACATTTAAAAATAACTTATTTTGGATCAATAATAAAAATACCTTGACACTGAAACCATGATATTTTTATCCAAGGTTATCATACCGTAAGAATTATACCAGCCCATGCCTAGCGATGTCGCAGACAAACCATTTTAAAGTTTAATTGTTTGTCTTGATAGAGACAGTTTTGTAAGTTTCCATAAAAAAAAAATTGTAATTAAAGGATCTTTGTGCCACCATGTTAGTTAAGACGACTTATTTTTTTTAAAGTAGAGATAAGGAAAAGTAGGATAACCTGGGAAAAAAAAAGAAAAAGAAAAAGTGCTCTAGGAAAAGTGAAACCAGATAGAAGTAAACATTTACACCTAAATGCTTTTCAGGATAAATTAGTAATTTCACAAGCCATAGAAAACATTTTATTATATCACTAAAAACAAACAAACAAAACACTTAATAGACTGAATAGACAAAAGAGGATATTTATTTTATGATTTGCATTTTTAAATTCACAATGAGATTTACTATAAGTCTGAGTGAAATAAGAATTTTATGGTAATTGCAAATGCATTTATTCAACCACAAATTAAATTAAAATACCTTTAAAAGCTCTATCTCTCTCTCTCTCTCTCTCTCTCACACACACACACACACACACACACACGTTTATATACAGTTTATTTTTTCATCAATTTCTGTTTAACGGAGCAATTTTTAACATATTTCTAACAAAATAATTTTAATAACTCATTTCTAATATCTGATTTCTTTAATCTTTGCCATGACAATATTTATATAGCATATATACTATTTTTACACTAATAATATTTATAGAGTATATAATATTTAATTAGATGTTTTTCAAGATACTTCTATACAATTTTAAGAGACATTTAAAGGCTTTAGGTTTAGATAATTGGGTTAACTAACTATGCAGGTTAGGGTAATTTGGCAAGTTATTGAATAACGATGGTTAGTTCTGTAGACTATTGAAAAAATATATAGCTTAGGGGCTAATAATTTTGACCTTAAAATGGTTTTAAAAAAAATTGAAATTGCTTTTGTTCTAGCCGAAATAAAGCAAATAAGACTTTCTCCAAAAGAAAAAAATAATATCAGGCAGCAGTGAAATTTCCTTGCTCTGTTAAACATCATTTGGGAAACATTAAAAAAAAGAAAAAGAATTTCAAAGGGGGTTTAAGCATTCAGATTGCAAAACAACTGCCTTCTGTTTGAATATGTTTTAAAATGCAACAATGTTGCCACATTTATTCAATTGAAAGCATCCTTGCATGATAATTATTTTCTTGATAGGTATTCTGAATTACTTCTACATTTTAACCCGTTGAATAATATTAGATTTTATTCATTTTCCTCATTTGATCATTTTGAGACTTTTCTAAAAAGGGTTTTTGATAAATAGCTGTAAATTGAGAGCCTATGCATTAAGTATTATTAAACACAAATTATTTATAAAAGAGGTGATAAAATAAAAACTAAACTTTTATGGAGAGATAATCTAATTATTTTAAAGCAACTTCTAAAAACTATTTAACATGTGAAGGAATCTAATACACAAGTCCTTAAAAGTTGTGAAAGCACATCATGGCATTTTATGAAAATGGACCCTTTGAAAGAAAAAAACAACAACAACTAAACTTCCTAAGCCACAAGAACTACAGCAAGGGATCAAATACTCACAATTTTGCCAAAGTCAAAGGTGGAAAACAGTCAAAACCAAAACTGGAATGCAAAAATGTAGGTCCCCAGCTTACAATACACAAATGTATACAAATGAGTAAAGAGAGCTGAAGAAAGCCCAAGCAGAAAACAGACCCACCCTTTTACCACAGCACGGGTAAACTCAGAGAAACCGGACTCCTGCTGTTCTGTACCACTTTAGCTGACAGAACAAATAGGGACAGGTAAATATAGCAGCAGTAACAGCAATTAAATCACTGTTGGTTGTGTGTATGTGTTTGAATGCGCGCCATGCGGCCGTCGATAAACAGTGAGCTCTAGGTTGTATTCCAGAAAGCTGGGTTAATTTACCATATGCTAAACTCTGAACTCTCGGTTAATTAACCCAAAACCTGCTTGCCGTGAGTATGTCGGTTCCAAAACAGGTGATAAGAGTTAGTTAAATCAACCTCCTGAAGATAACCGCGGGTTAATGCGTTCACAGTGCATATACCTGAAGGCATTTTTAGTAGATAGCCGAATTCAAGAGTCATCATAGAAAGTCACCATGAGAAAAAAAGGCAACGCACTTTACAGAGGCGGAGTTGGAGGTTTTAATACTGGCGTACGAGGAATTAAAGCCGATTATATATATAAAAAAAAAAAAAACAGTAAACATCTGTATTAACGAAGGAAAGAAATATAAGATAATAAATAGATAAGAAAAATATTATATAATAAGAGAAAATTCAGTAGTTAATACAATTTGCCACCTTTTATTGTAATGAAAAATTAAATATAATTTTAACATCCTTTTAAAGTATGTTGTTTAACCATTCATGCATTTAATTTTCCTGCCATTAATTTATTAAGGCCACAATAATAATGAGTAGTAATTATAGAAATTAATCCTTCTGGAGAACTCTAGAAGAAAAGTCAAAAATTAAAAAGTCAAAATTAAACAGAAACATTCTCTTAAAAAGTAATATTTGACTACTGAAGCTATGTATTAAATACTCCAGAATATTCTTTGTCATGCAGCTAACAGAAAGGAGGCTGAGGCCTGTCTAACTGCTTTAGGCCACCAAATAACTGAGGAGCTGCTCTGTCCCTTTATTAAGGCTAATCAGTGGTTGAATTATTTGTCAAAGTTGTAAGTGGTTGTTGTGAGGTAACTTTAGGGTTCTTTTTACATTTTTTGTTTTGTTTTGCATGCAGATTAAATTTCTTCTGCCTTAACTAACAAACAGTGAAAGAATAATTTTTCGTTTTTCTTTCATATTTGAATTTCGTTGTTGTATCATAAAACAATCTTTTATTTGTTTATTTTAATTCTAAAGTAGCTTTATAAGGTCCATCTTCAAAGATAAAAAAGTCTCATGAGCATAACCTTAAGGTGAGAAATGTATAGGAAAAAAATATGTTACATGTTGCAAGGTGTGTGTATAAAGCAATGTAAAGAAATCATTCATTTCATTTCAACAACTAAATAAATGAACAGTGCTTCAGACCAAACTATTTAATTAATTTGACAAGTCATGTCTCTTAGCACTCTTATCTCTTTGGTCTGCTTGGGTCACTGAGGTTTCCTCTGGGTCAGGCTGCAGGTATGGTGGCATCAAATAAGGCAGAAAAGGGTATCCTTTGTCTTCCAGCAAGTAACAATCTAGTGCCTAGTACTGATTCAATTGTATAATACAAAAACAGTTAAAAGAAACATTATATAAAGCACCATTTGCTTTACACAATGTTTTTTTTTCACTATATTTGTATTATTCACTTGAATCTTTACTCCCTGAAAATTAGCTATTTCGCCTCAACATAGTAATGAGGTGGGGTCATCATCACTTAAGAGCTAGTAAGTGGAAGCAGTGATGAGTTTTATAGTTGTGTAAAATGAGAAAATATTATATATTCTTCTCTTATATATTTCTTCTATGCTAATGAAGGACTACTGAGACATTCCTAACTTGGGATGGGTCCTCCTGTAGTGGCAGAGTTCCTCACAGCTCCAATACACATCTCTGCAATTTGCTTACAGTAACCATGTCCTTTTAACCATACACAATTCGTCTGCTCGTGATCTTCCTTCATATAACTTTGTCATGTTTGGTGCCGTTTGACAGTTTATGACTTATAGCTTTGTAGTGATGAAATCAACAGACAAATTGATTGGTTGTATTTCAATATATTTGCTATTGTTGAGTCATGGCCTGAGGAGAGTTTGTTAATGTTCTTCTCCCCCATTTTATCTCCTCAACTTTGCTCTCATGTTCAGCTGGTTTTGGGGGTTGTTTTTTTGTTCTCATGTTTGATGATGCTTTGCTCGGAGTATAATAAGGAAAGGTACTGTTGGTCTGGGAGAACGGCTTTTACTCTGCATCTCCCGCACACCAGTGCGTAGCCTCATATGCTAACAAAGGCAGTTTCACTGTCTTTGTTGTTCAGCAGTGCATATGTTACAGCTAATTTCTTTATACAGTATGTTTGTTTGTTTTATTATAATGTCTGTATATTCAAATATTTAACTAGATAAACAACATTGCTTGCTTTAAGACGTAGAGATTCTTTCTCTTTATCGATGATAACAATTTTAATGGAGTCAGATTACAATAATTAGATAAATAATGGATTTAAACACGCCATCCTTCAACTGCTTTGTTTCCGACTATTGGTTCAGAATAGCAGCGTATGCTTCAAGCCTTGCAGAAAAAAAACAGGACAGAAAAAAAAAAGTTGTACCTGCACATTTATACTATGGGCAGATTTCATATTATCAGTGTCCTTTAGTGACTGATGGAGCTTTAAAACTGGCTGCAGTTACTGCACACAATAGCATTTAGAAACCCTGAAAAAAATTATATAAAAAATGTATCAGGTGTGTGTGCATGAATGGATGTATACAAATGAACGGCGTCCTGCATCTTAAAATATGGATATATTTTCCTACAAAAGACAAAGCTGCCACCCCTTTTAATATTATATATAAACTAAAGAAAATGTGAGGGTGCAGAAAGAGAAAGAGAGAAAAACATGTGATCTTTATGTGAAATTTGAAATCGCTCCGCTGTGCACTACGTTGTTATTTAATGATGCACTGTCCTTCGACTATTGCCGCGCTCTGAATCATCTGTGTAAAAATACGCAGTGGTTTATGACCAAGGAACTGTACAAAAGTGTATAAAACAGTTCAGTGCCAGGCATACTGTACAGATGGTCCTACACGCTATTGCCACATTGTACAGTTGCCTAAAATGCCCTGACGCGAATAAAGAGCTGCACTGAATGCCGGGGGCGCTCAACCTGCGGTCTGTGTGAGTCCTAATGCCCTGTAAAAGTGAAGGGGACACTATACTGTCAGTGGGCGCCGTCTTTCGGATGAGACGTTAAACCGAGGTCCTGACTCTCTGGGGTTATTAAAAATCCCATGGCACTTCTCGTAAAGAGTAGGGGTGTAACCCCGGTGTCCTGGCCAAAGTCCCTCAATTGGCCCTTACAGTCATGGCCTCCCAATCATCCCTATCCACTGAATTGGCTCTATTACTGTCTCTCCACTCCTCCAATAGCTGGTGTGTGGTGAGCGCACTGGCGCCGTTGTCCTGTGTCTGCCTTCGCATCATCCAAGTGGATGCTGCACACTGGTGGTGATGTGGAGACCCCCCCCTCCCCCCTCATGATTGTAAAGCATTATGGGTGTATGGCCATACACAATAAATGCGCTATATAAATACACATTACATTTTCTATGGTAAAGCGCATACCCGTGGTTTGTCACGTTTGATTTCAAAAGGTTTGTTAAATACATTAACAATTCTTTTGAAAACGATAACGTTCATTTAAATCAAATGTACATTTGGTTATGAAAAGACCTACTTATACACATTTTGTTTTGTTGTGAGAAAGTTATATCTGTGCTTCTACGTCCATGAATACTCATCAAAAGACCATGCAATGCTCAGTAAACTCTCTGAAACAGACAAACTCTGGAACATAGCAACTTATTCTCTGAAGATAACCTGCTCCGGAAAAAGTTGTCTTCAGAGAATAACTTGCTATGGCTACCTAACATACCCCAGAAGTTACCTTCGATTTTGGAACCAAAGCTGAGGTTATCTGCTGATTCTCAAACTTACCCGGGTATGTCACATAACCTGCTTTCTGGAATAGCCCCCTGGTCTCCCTCCGCCTTCATCTTTCCCGCAGCGTCTTTATATGATCACGTGAGGACGTTTAGGGTAAGCCTTTTAAAGGGGTGGTCTACTATGATATCATATTTTAAACTTTAGTTGATGTGTAATGTAGCTGTGTGAACAAACAACATCTCTGAATGTAAAAAGTTTCAAGTTTAATGTAAAGGGAGACCTTGGTTTTTACAGAGTTAGCTTAGCAAAGCCTACCATGAACGAATTTTGGGGACTACAAAAAATATTTCCACCCCGTGTGAGATTACAAAGGTTCGTTTACTGCGCACACACACTGCGCAGCTAAGGGCCTTGGCCAGAGGCACTGTAACGTTATAGCAGAGATGGAGCTAAAAATGCGTCCAAACACAGCTTTTTCCACAGAGCTTCGTTTGTTTCTGTATTTGGGCTTCCAAAGGACACGACACAAAGACAGAAGAGCTTACAGTTCAATATTAATTATGTTCCAGAGAATACATAGCAAGCATGATTTGACAAAACACAGCTTCAGAATCTCTTCCAGTTCAGTGCTGGATTCGTTTAAATATTACCTCGAAGCTGTGTACTACAACCTGTAAGTGTTTTTATTTGTTTAAATCGATCATGACATGGTGTAACAACGATGTAAACAATGGGAAATGCTGCTTTGCACCGCAAACGATTTAGCTACAAATTCATATTTAACAGTCAAACTGCTGTAAACACACACACACACACACATACATACATGCATACTCCACCAGCGCGTTAGTGTCTCTTATGTGTGTGCACGACTTTGCATTGATTCTCCATGCAGCTTTTCCATGCATTTCACATCTCAGATAATGAGGTCGCAAAAGATATGTGGATGATTCATCTTACTTACACCTGCATATTCCGGATATATGTGAAAGACGTCGTGTAACGCATTGAGTTAATAAAAATACAAGATAGCTCACCTAACTCATGGTAGCAGCAGAAAAATAAATCAAGGCTCACACAGGTCTCATCCCACATCTTGTGCTTTATTCTTCTGTCACGATATATTACAGAAAATAACTTAATCCGAGCAAGGGAAAAAAAATAAATAAAAAAACTCCCGTGCACATACGCTTGTTACAGAAAGTTCACACATTCACACATACAATGGCAAACTCTCTTAAAGGAGCTGCACCCCATTTTCACTCGTTACAGACACTTGTCAGATTTTATTTGAGAGAGCAGTTTACACAGCAGAAAACTGCGTGCTTGTACGGGCGTGACGTAGAGCTGATCCGCGAATCGCAGCACATTATAACGATGACCAATCAGAGTCACTTAAGGGCGTGCCTTTCAGAGGAACTAGGAAATATATCAGTCGTTTTCATGTTAGCTGAGTAGCTGTGTATATTCAAAGTGAGACACGATTTCCTTCAAGTGAAACATGAGCACACATTGCTTTGCATCTTAAACACAACCAAGCCTTAAAATTACATTCTGGACCACCCCTTTAATATACGTTTGTTGTACAAATTATTTAAAGTTCACATGTAATGTTTTTTTAGGGTTACCACTGATGTAACCTAGGCTACAATATTGGAAATATTAGAGGTTAATTATATGAAGTAATTTCTTGATTTTTATCAGCACATGCAGTCAGTTACAGAAAAAATATGATAATGCAACAAATTAGGAGCTTATGTATTATTTGTTTTAAAGGGGATCTATTATGCAAAAATCGCATTTATTTAAACAGTTGTGTGTATGTGCACGTGCGGCAACAGTTTATGAATATATCCAGCTTCTAATGTAAACAATTAATATTTTTTAAAATCACAAATAATTTACCATTAGAAGTACATTTTTACTTCTAATACTAAACATTATTTTTTATTATCACACTTCATAAAAACAGTTTGCAGAAACAAAGCCCCGCCCATTAGTTAAGATGTTTCCCTCATCAAAGAGCATAGGCTATAGTAGAATCATATTATACTATTAGCTCTTTGCCCTCATTAGCATTGGAGTTACACTTGATTCTGAATCTACCACAGTGGGAATTGAAGCTCCGCCCTCTTTTGAAAACCAGGCTGCATGGGAGCACAATCTTAATTGAATTTAAAGTAATAGCCCAAAAGGAGCAGTTTCAAAGTTATATTTTTTGTGTGGTATTATGAGCTGAAACTTCACATACACACTCTTTATCAATCTATCTGATTGATAAATATTATGTCAGCATTTTGTTAATGTGATGAGTAAAAACACAGTAACACCACTAACACAAATGAATCACCACTGAGAAACACGATCTTCAGTGTGTTTTAAATAAAATAATTAGTAATACACAACACAAACATCAGTGACTGATTTCATTAAAAACTGCATTTTACAAAATTTCAGCGGCAGGGAATTTTTAAAAATTCCTTAACAATAAAGGATGTAAGACTTTTTAAAACCGCTTTAATATTAACTACGACTATGAAAATGTCAGTCACACATTGGCTGACATCCCACATGGAATTGAAAGGCAACATCTTTTCAATACTACCTTAGAGAAAGGATAAAACATCCCTTAAAAAATGGTTGTTGGGTTGGTTGTAAAAGGTTTTGCTTGTAATAAACTTGAAGTCTGTTGATGTTTGAAGGGGGTTGACACAATGTTCGCTATGCATGCATTATACAGTACCTCACTGTCTTTAAGAAGAAACAAAAGCCTTTAAGGCAGGGGTGTCCACACTCAATCTTGGAGGGCCGGTGTCCTAGAGAGTTTAGCTCCAACCCTAATCAAACACGCCTAAAGCTAATCAAGCTCTTACTAGAAACTTCCAGGCAGATGCGTTAAAGCAAGTTGGAGCTAAAGTCAGCTGAACACCGGCCCTCCAGGACTGACTTTGGACACCCCTGCTGTAAGGTAACGGGAAGATTGGAACAGCAACTAACATTAGTAGTGCCTCCCTAAAATACTTTCAACTTTGCTAAAACTCTCTTCAAGCGATTGTTTGTGCGTCCCCGAGATTTTTTTATTTGAGACAAACCAAAGAATTTATCACTACAATATTTGGTGCCCTGCATGAGGATAAAATATCAAAATAATATTTGATAAATTCAAATCATCACTACATTATTTGGTGACTACATTACGAGCTAAAAACATCAGTAATATCTATACCAATACTGATGTGACATTCAAAATATTACACTTTATGAATAGTCTTGTCAAATTGTACAAATATCCAGATACTTTTAGCATGAGAAATTATACTCTTCACTTGTCAAAACGAGTGTTGCCCTCTGAATAAACATTGATGAAATCAATCTTTTCGCCTATCCAAGGTTAGGCAGAACAACTAATAACTTGACTTCTAGTTGATCATTTGGTATCAGAAGCGGCTTATAAGAAAAGGCAAAGGCTTCTAGATTACACTTATTTTATAAAAATAAAATGATCATGCCTTGATTTTTAATTATTTAATTAGAACAGTAAGGTCTGAGTTTGCTTAGACAAAAGTATTGTCACTTAATAGAAATGATGTAGAGTATAGAATATAAAATTCATGGTGCAGTGGAAAAATATTTAATATTGTGTTTGATACTCATGAGCTTGGAGGACTGCATCAATACATCTCTGCAATGACTCAAGTAACTTAATAAAGTCATCTGGAATGGCAAAGAAAGCGTTTACGCAGCCCTCCCAGAGTTCAGCAAGATTCACTGGATTCATCTTCAATGCCTCCTCCTCCATCTTACCCCAGACATGCTCAATAACATTCATATCTGGTGAATGGGCTGGCCAATCCTGGAGCACCTTGACCTTTGGTTTTATGAACTTTGATGTGGAGACTGAAGTAGGAGGAGCGCTATCCTAATTTTTTCTCTCCCCAAAACTGTGATAAAGACATTGATTCACTGGCTCTTCCTCCTGGTTAGGTTTCACAAAGGGGGAGATGCTGGAAGTAGAGTATTGAAAGTAGAATTTGCATAATCAAATGCTTGTGCATTGAAACAGACTGAAATGACTCCAGCCTAAGGCATGTACATTGTGTGGTTTCTGTATTGAAGTACTGCATAAATGTTTCCTAAAAATTTCAAACAACTGACATTTCAACATGTAATTTATGCGAAAAGCACTAAAGCCCCTTTTCCATGTAATATCTTTCTGACCAGGAAGTGAACAACACTATATCTTGCAATTAATATTTATTTTTTATTGAAAATTAAAAATTATATAAATGTTTTAACTGACAACAGGAGTGGTGATGATTGAAGAAATAGGAACCTACAGGAAAGAGAAAGTCATATGATTGAATTGTGAGTCAGCCTTTTCAACCTTTATACATTAGTGTCATTCTAAACGCAATATTCTCTTTGTTGAACACAAATGGAGAGGTTTAGCGGACTGTTCAGGCTACTCTAGGGTTAAAATGGAAGTTTTATCCAATTCTAGTCTGCTTGGAACAGTTCCAGCCAGCACAATTCTTTTTTTTTTTTTTTTTTTTGTATTTTTATCATCAAATAGGAAATCTAAAGAAAAGAGAGAAAAAAAACTGTCATCTGCACAAAAAAAGTTGCAAATTGGAGCTGTACTAGGAATGCCATGTAAACAAACACCATGCGTCACCACACACACGGTCCTGTATTCTACCACTGTGTTTTTTATAAACTACAAAAATGAATCAAATGTTTTCAAAGCTTGTTTATATGCCCATCACAAGACAAAGTGCAACTATTTTTCAAAACGTCTCCTTTTGTGCTCCAAAAAGAATTGCAAAGATTTAAAAACCAAAAAATACCTCTTCTGGATCATACAGCTCATTAGCAAAGTTCTGAGCTGAGAAGGTCAAGTGCTCTTTCACGTCAGTCACTAGATTCTCTTTTTCAGTCGACTCTTCCCTTGCTGCTCGTGCCCTTCTGTAAACAGAAACAAATCAGGATGAAATTTGATATACAAATCAGGTCTACATTTTAAATCTTCACCCATTGCCACTATATTAGGTACACTACCTCACAAAGTCTTGCCACCTATCCAAGTTTAAGGAAAAATAAACAATTTGACTTCCAATTGATCATTTGGTATTAAAAGGGGCTTTTTTGAAGGGCAAGGGCCCCTAGATTATGCTTATTTTAGCAACAAATAAAAATACATGATTATATTTTATTATAGTAAAGTCTGACTTTGCTTGGACAAGTCTTGTCACTTAACAGAAATAGTGTATAGTATAGAATATAAAATTATGGTGCAGTGGGGAAAAAAAGAATAGCGTATCACTCCCATGAGCTTGGAGGACTGCATCCATACATCTCTGCAATGACTCAAATAACTCATTAATAAAGTTATGTTATATGGAATTTTATGTTATTTGGAATGGAAAAGAAAGCATTCCCACAGGACTCCCAGAGTTCATCAAGATTCTTTGTGATTTGTCACCTACAAATCTAAATTTTGTTATTAATAATTGCCTACATAACACCAGCAGCAGTTTGACCTGGACATGCAAGACAATACAGATTAATGTCTTCACGTCATTTACATCAATTTCGTTCATGCAAATGCAAGGACAGAAATCAAGATTTAGACCAGTCAACCTTTGTCCTGTATACAGATTGATGCATTTTTGTGAGCTTATATCAATCATAGACTGCAGTGTGTTGTTTTCTTTATCTGACAGGAGGAGTGTCACTGGTGTTTTTTTTCTGCTGCTGTAGCTCATCTGCTGCAAGGCTTAATGTGTTGAATGTCCAGAGGTGCTTATTTCAGTTTCCGTTGTCTTTCGATCAGCTCAAATCAGTCTGGTGATTCTCCCGACCATTGGCATAAAGCTGTTTTCACCCACATGAATCATTCTTTCGGTTGTGGTTGTGCATAAAAATTCAGCAGTTTCTAAAATATTCAGACCAGGCCATTTGGCAGCAACAACCATGCCATGTTCAATGTCAGCTAAATAGCTTTTCTATTCCTATTCTAAAACTTGGTCTGAATTGAAGCAGCTCATCTTCACCACATCTGCATGCCTAAACACATTCACTGGTGCTTCTATGTTCTGAACATAGTTAAACTCTAATACCTAATAAAGTGGCCAGTGAGTGCATTACATTTAAATAAAAGATTAACCTTCTCATGAGGAAGATGGCGACCATTAGAGCTCCTCCGAAGAGAAACATGAGTGTGAGAGCGATAGCGGTGCCGCTGGATTTGGTGTTCTGACAGTTATCTCCGCTGAAGCCTTTGTCACATTCACACGCCAGCACACCGTTCACACTTACACACTTCCCATGAGCACTGCATTGCTCGGCAGCACATGACACACTGCCCACATTCTCCACCACAACACCATTTTCTGAAGATGGAGAAAGTTCAACAGCAGAGTCGAGAGAGCCAGGCCCAGATTTGGATTTCACCCCTGGTTTGGTTTTCACACGGTCACCTGTCAATAAGAAAAATTATTTAGGTGCCTTTAGTTACCAAGTGACTTCTTAACACTGACCACATTACAATAAAGTTTTAAAAGTGTTTTTGAGTGTTAATAGCAGAAGGTTTACATTCATCCAAATGTAAAAAATAAATAAATTAGCAGCTTGTTCAAGGGTGAGGATTTTCTAACCCCTCTCATAGATCTAGTCTAATTCGTCGATATATCTAGCAACTCAAAGACCCTAGATTACAGCCTAGCATTCAGCAATTTCTAAAATTTCAAAACTTCCTAATAACTACTTTGAACACCCTAGCACACAGCCTAGCAAAAGGACTCAGGCAGAATATCTTAGAAACAATTTTGCAACATGCTAACAAATACTCTGAACACTGTAGCTTACAGCCTAGTAGGCAGCAACTTCCAGAATATCTACACATGTCCTAACAACTATTTTGAACACCCTAGCACACAGCCTAGCAAAAGGAAACTAGCAGATTATCATAGAAACTTTCTAGGAACATGCTAACAACTTGCCTGAAAGCCCTAGCCCACAACCTAACAAGTAGCAACCAGAAGAAATGTCTGGAAACTGCCAAGAAAATGCCAATAACTTGTCTAAACACCTCAACATACAGCCATCAAATAGCCACCAACAGAATACTCTAAATTGTTTAGCAAACATGCCAACAGGTACACTGAACACCCTAGCATGCATTCTAGCAAGAAGCAACCATTGAAAAAACTTAGAAACATGCTAACAACTACGGTGAACATCTAAAAACAGCCTAGCTGGCAGCAACTGTCAGAAAACCCTAGAAACTGGCTAGCATAGAGCTGCACAATATCTGTGCCATATCACAAATTAATAAAATCTATTACAGTATTGATGTGTAAAGACAAAATGGTTCTAGACTGCAACCTGCTAATTTTATTGATAATGTTAGAGACAAATCTGAACACAACTGCACTGGTGTAAACGCTTAATGTTCAGGTTGTTTTGGTATCTGGCTGGTACATGTGCACTTAACTAGTCAGGTTTGATTGGCCACTCCCTATCTGTACTTTTCCTGCTGTGTAGTCATTAGTTAGGTCAGTTAATGATACCAGGAAAATATTGTACAATTCTGTCAGTGTCTCTCAGGCAAGTGGGTTTGACAAACCATCTGTAAGAAACACTTTCCTCTTTACTCTCCATATGCATCAGGCACTTTCATGTTATATGTAAACATTTTCAAGCGAGAATGAACCACATCGAACCGTACCTCTTGGTGGAAACCAGGCATAAGACAAGTGTGCCCATATTATACAACATTTATCTCATAAGGGAAATATTATATGAATACTAATCATGGTTAAAATGGACCAAAATAACAGTAATGATCATTTTAACTAGATTAACAACATGCTAAAGGCTACTCAGAACATTCAAATGAAGCCTAACCAGCAGCAGAACCACTACCAGAACACCTCAAACTACTGCAGAGAGTCTGTGATCGAGTTCATCAATGTAATATTATGAAATAATTGGACAATGTAAAGTTGGTTAGCATTTAGGAATCGCTTACACTCCTCATCGGACGCATCCTGGCAGTCTGGGACCTGATCACAGAATTTTGCCACAGGGATACACTTGAGCCTATCTCTACAGGCTTTTAAACCCACGGGACACTTGAGGCTGGACACACATTTGGTGTTGTTCACCGATAGATAGTCCTGAGCGCAGCGACATGTGCGACCACCAGGATTTGGCAAACAAAGATGACTGCAACCCCCGTTGCTCATGGAGCATGCATTAAATCCTGGCAAAGAAAATAAGAAAGGGACAAAAAATAAAAACACACAAAAATGAAAATGGCTTTGAAATAAACTTAAATGTAAGACATATTTGCATTTTAATGTACAATGTATTGTTAGGATAAATTAGAACAATTACATAAATATTATAAACTAATAATACAATAAACACTATAACTAACAATTGTTAAAAGTGTAAGAAACAAAAAAAAGACACTGCTACTTTAGCCAACAATATTGGTTTGGCCTTAAACTTCCAATGAAAAACAATTGAGCAAATTAAAAACAAGACGATAAATTACATTAACATACAAATGAACTAAATTAGATAAATTAACAAATAGGAAATACATTAAATTACAAAAAATAAGATGATATACATTTAAATGTATAATTGTTTAAAAATATAATTTTTAAATGTCAAACAACAATTTCCAAAGAGAACATCTGAACTATACAGTCACACTGGAAATGTAAGGCTAAACCAAGGTTACTACTGTAGCACAAGATGCTTTGTTGACAAATGCATTAGATCATTCAGCCACTAAGAATTCAGAAAATGTTCGCACAGTATGCATTCACACACAAGAGGAGGAATTTGTGTCAGTCTGTTATTGTGAACTGAATAATGTAAAGTGAATGAGTGAGTCTGTTCTGCAGTGAAGGGTGTGGGAAAAGTAAAAGGAGACGCTAAAAGGTGTCTATTGTGTGGCTCAAGCTCCTCCAAACACGTGACCAGTCTTTTCATACACCTCAGACCAGTCACGTTTCTCACGCACACACACAAGAGAAGCACCTTTCTGACTGGACCTGCTGTAAGCCTTCAGCTCAATAACACTCGTCTTCACCTCAAACCACATCTGCTTGGGCTGTAAACCATCGGAGTACCAGAGTTGAGAAGTACCTGGTTCAGAATTAAAGATATATATATATTTTTCACATTTAGGATTTTTTTACCACCAGTAATGCAAGAAAAAAAGTTGCAGGTCAGCTTATGCAAATTAAAATTGCAAAAATCAAAACTGAATGAAAACAAGTCAGAATTCAAGTCCCAAAGAAAAAAATGGCTACTTGTAAATTACAGAACAGCTTTCAATCGGAATAGCAGGAAATAAGCTGAAAAGCTTATAAGCGGATTTAATTTAGCTGATTAGATTGTTAGATGGTCATAACCACACTTTGATGTACAAAAAATATTTCCTAAATAATTAGAATAAGAAGACAATGACATCATATATGATTAGAAATAATTATGTTTTAAATGAAAAACTATGGTTTACTGTAATTTATTATGAAAATAACAAACTGGCCAACACATACAACTGCCCTCAGTCAGAATTTAGCCGTTTGAATAAAAAAAATAAATAAAATGCAATAATAATAGAGCTTCACAATTTTTCTAGCATTTCTTGTAAAAAAAATAAAATAAATAAATACATTTGAAAATCATGAATAACAACATAAGCCAAATTAGTATTTAATTTTTACATGGGCCATTTAATATTGGTGCTACACACCTTTTTTTATTGGTCATGTTTTCTTTTAAGCATAAGGTCTAAGATTTGGAGTAAGTTACTTGTAAAATGTTTTCACAATTGAAAAACAATGCAGTTGCGAAAAACGACTTTGCTTATGTCAGATGTTTTCTTGCACAGATAGATGTTGGATAATTGTTTGCATTGGCCAAAACTAATTAACTGATGTCACACCAGGATTTTGCTTGGTCTAAAGCATTTTTCGATGAGTTTTTTTACTATTTAATAGGGCATAGCAGTCAAAATACATAGGGCAAATGAGCTCATGAACAAATTCTGGACCTGTCAGTGAGGGGTTGGTCTTTTGAATAATCAATCAATTCTGAAAATTTGCAAACACAAAGGCAACTTTGAAGGAAGGGGAAAAAAAAGAGAGATTTTGTTAGAATACTATGATGTCTGTCTTTATTACGCAAATCTTGTAGAAATTTTTTGTTCTCTCTAGGTAATACTGCTTAGTTGCATTTTATGTAGTTCGATTGGCTTTGATAACCAAATGACAATTCCTGTTAAAGGTAAATCAGTGTATTTCCATAAATGTATAAACTATAGTCCAAATATAATTTGAAACGCAAATTTGTTGCAAATTGGAGATTGGTCAATAAATGCCTTTAAGTGACTTTAAAATATTATAGTATAAAATATAAATAGTACTTTTAATATGAACTGAATATTTAAGAAGGATCTCTCCATGCCATCTTGTGGCTCCTGCACAGAACTGCACTGTGCACACCTGTCTGGAGGTCATGAATCATTACCGTTGTCCAGTGTGATCCAGAAGTAGATGTTGTCAATACGAGCAAAAGACACCATAAATTCAGAACCGGTGCTGAACTCCTTATAATTAGAGCCATCGATGTTAACAGAGCAAATCAAATCACTCCCTGGAAGAAAAAAAAACAAACAGATGTCATTATTAATTGGTCAAAGGAATTAGGACTTGATTAGGAAACAAACAACTGTTATTGTTATGATTGAGTATTATTATTATTATTACTATTATTATTAATAATATAACAGGTGTGTAACCCTAAACCTAAATTACTATGGTTAGTATTTAAACTTGAAAATATATTATTAAAAAATTAATAAAAAAAACAATTTTTTGAACTAAAAAAACCCAACATACATTAACTTATTTAGAAAAGACAAAGACATTTATTTTTATTATTTCAAAAGTTTATTAAATGGTTGTTTATTGCAATAAATAAGTAATTATTTCTTAAATGAATCAGTTAAAAGTTAAAAAGGTATAATTACCACTAAATTAATATTAATTGAATAAACAACATTAATAATGACAATGTTTGGGTTCGATGAGGACCATTACTTCAATTTACAAAAAAATAACTGTATGCCATTTATAAAAAAAAATAAATTAATTAATTTTAACACAAGACTCTATTTTGCACCCTTTTTGTTTAAGCCACAAAACAGACATTTTCATGAACGTACCAATATCAGCCCAATACAACGTGTTCCCCTTCTCCGACAAGGCTAGTGACACTGGCATTTTTGCTTTACTCCAGAGCCGGGTTCGGTTTGCCCCGTCCATGTGAGCGCAGTCCACTTGGGGCAGCATATCAGCACCCCTGCGTCCCACAGCAGTGAAACACATCCGACCTGAAGGGGGGTGCAGAGCAATAGAGACGGTGCCTGCAAGCTCAGCCTGCAGAACCACTGCTGTGAGCTTCCCTCCAGGAGATGTAACAAACAGCTCCGGCCTCTTCATGCTGCTCCAGTAGAGGTTTTTGGTGACCCAGTCCAGAGCCAGAGCAGACAGGATGTCCCCCTTCAGTTGGAGGACGAGTCCGATTGGAGAGAAGCCAGAGCTGCGCAGGCCAAGCTGAGAGACAGAGCCCACAGAGGCGTCTGCTAGAGTGATACTTCGGTCCTGGAGAAGCATGTCGAAATCAGAGGCTTCAGAAACACCAAGCAGAGGCAAAGATCGGTGATTGGGCCACTGCTTCAGCCCAACTTCAGACTGCATGCTCTTAGTAAAGATCTTCGGGAGAAAAGACAGAGGGGCAAGACTTATTGTAGCAATATCTTGTTAATACAAGTGACAAATCACATTTAGACTTTTTTTTTTTATTATTATAACAGTTAAGGGAAAGAGTACAATTTATATTGCAACAAAACTTCAAGAACACCATACATATTTAGGTGAATATTGTTTAGTGTATTCATGTGCACAAGCAGGCCCCATGTACATAGTTTATTTTATTAGGATAAAAATTTATTTGTACACGATCTGATAAAATATTAAAATTAAATAAGGTAAATGATTTACATCTATAGACAGCTTTATTTCAAAAATTAAGACATTAACAATGATAATAATAATAAAAAAGTCATAATACCAATTATACATTTATAACCAACATGTAAATGATCTATAATTGTAAAACAGAACTGCAAGTTATAATGAAGTATAACACACAAGTAGATTTTCATTGATAGATTGTTTGTTAGGATATGATATTTGGCCAATTATCAATGAATGTTGTGAATGATATTTAAATGAATGTAGTGAATTAAATTTTAAATGAAAGAATAAATAAATAAAATTCTTTAAAAATGTCCAAATTTAAGTACTTTGCAAAGCATAATACTAACAAAACTATTAAGTTTGTAAATTTCCAACTGTAAATACATCAAATGTCTTCATGCAACATAACCTGCACATAATATAATTATGATTTTAAAAAAGAAAAGAAACTTAATGTATTTTTAGCTATTCCCACAAACATTGTTGTGCAACAATTTTTTTAAAATGCCTTTTAGATTTTAAAGAAATATTACGAACACAAACTGATGAACTGGTAAATTGGCACAGCAAGACAAGTTTTTAAAACCAACAAATACTTGAAGGTGGGACAGACAAATACTTGAGGCTTACAAAGTTAAAAATAATAGTACAAGCTTTAAGTATTTGTCTGTCAGACCACTGTCTGTATTGGCATTAGGACGTTGCAAGACAAAGCTCTACTGGGGTACAGCTCCCCCTCAAAAAAAAAAAAAAAAAGATAAGACAATTATCATTATTCATAAATAAATAAATTCTAAATGTAACGGAAAACAATCTAAAAGACCAAACTGGAGTGATCTAAGACTATAAGAAATCTTTTGTATGAAAATTAATTTTAGTAGAATGAAATTTTATAGACAATTCAATTGAATACAAAAAAAAGATGTTTTATAGAATTGCTGCGTGTTGTTTCGTCAGGACTCATGGCCGAGAATTAAGTTTATTAAAGCTTACCTCATCATGCCTCCTTTTTGCTTCATGCAAAAATCTATCAGGAGCCATGCTTAGTCAAAATAAGATCGCCATCATATTAGTTAAACTTTGTTTTGTCGACTTGCAAAACTCACTGAGTGCCAACACCTCCACTTAAAAGACTGTTGCGCCGGTTTCACAACGCATGAGCGGCGCTGCAATTATTTCAGTGTGCATGTTCAGGACTGGGACTTACACTGGGAGTAGAGCAACATCAATTTCAAGGAGCAGCTTTTTTTTTTTATCTGCGCACATGCTCAGTTTTTTTTTTTTTAAATGTACGGGTTGAGATAAATGTCTCTGGATGTTGCAGCTTTTTGATTAAACTACACTTTTCATCAGCGTTGGTTTGGTTGCACATAGAGAATATTTTCTTTATTCTGGGAGTACCACTCTTATTAAATACACTTTGCATTAAGTAAATCATATCTCAAAGCATAAATGGGATCTAGTTACACCACTGGCTGGCATTCAATTATTCTGTGTTATATTATTATTATGATTAGTGTTTAATTATACCTGTGTGATCGTGGTGAGAGACAGTAACATAAGGTAAGAGGAGGAATCATCCAAAGTCGAACCACAAGTCAATCCGTCCGCAGCCAGAGGAGCTCTGGTGGGACAGCGACACACCGCTTTGAGTCCTGGAGCCAGCAGACACACGTGAGAACAGTGGAGACTTTGACAGGGGTTCGGGACATTGGGCTGCTGAAGAGGGTGGACAACCTACAACACCACCACAGAACACAGATATCAGGTACTGATACATACTATCAGTAACATTATTATGCTGTATTTTACAAAATGCAAACATTGGTAGCCATGTTGTAAAATGCTAACATAGTACATATTGAAATATTATTTTATAATCATCTAAAATATGCTGCAAATTATTTTAAACTTTTACACAAAATGTGTAAAACATGACTTTTGGCCTATTGAAAGATGCTGACTTACAAATGGTAACCTAAAAATATTTAAGACCTTAAATATTTAAATTAAAAACATGTTAACCATGTTAAAAATTCTACAGATATACTAATGCTAAAATATTATGCTAAACCACCACCCCCAACGCCAACTAAAATTTGTTAGCCATGTACTAAAAGCTACGAACATGCTAATGTGTTAGATAAAGGTCAAAAGTGTTTACATATGCTAACATTTTAAACATGCTAAAATGTGTTAGATATGTATGCTAGGTGTTAGCAACAATGCATTAAAAATGACTAAAAACATGTTAATTTACTAATGTTTAAACATGCTAACAGCATGATTTGATTTGAGCTAAAATGTGTTTGTGCAGACAATCAAACTAGCAAATCAAACGACTGATGTTCGATTCACACTATTTTTCCTATTTCAAACCAGGTTTAAACAATCAATTTGAAAATCTTGAAAACCTTCCAGTTAAGCTTTCTCAAGCTAACAAACTTTTGTCCCTACAAACATTAGAGAAAACCACTCAGCAATGCAAAATAGCATTTTAAAAATGTGTCACCCTGTAAGAGGAATTTTGTCACATTCTGTAAAAGAAGAAATTTAATAACGCTTGCAATGTGTATTCTCACTTTAAGGGCAAATGGCTGTCCAGGTCTTTTGAGAAAAACTTTGCGGTTCTTGCCAGTCAGTTTATTGGCTCCTTGAACAGATCTTCTCTGAGTGTCAGACCAGTAGATCATGTCATTAAACACAGCCATGGATAACGGACTAGGCATATGAGACAGCTGGAGAAACTGGAGAAAAAAAAAGCCAAACATTTTACTTTATTGCAGCACTGAAATTAGGGCTTTAATATAAGAAATCAATTGAAAATGTCTTTTAAATGTCCAGTTACCCTTATGTTTTCTCCATCCAGTGTGGCTGAGCCAATACACCCGAGCTTCTTGTCTGTCCAGTAGAGTCTGTCAGTCAGAATGTCCACCGTCACACTGACAGGCCAGTTGAGTCCACGTCTGATCACTGCTCTCCTGTCTGATCCGTCCATGCTGGAGCGTCCGATCTGTGCTTGACCTCCAACCTGTGACCACAACATGATCCTGCAACATACAGAAACATTAATTTCAACTCGTACAACAAGACTAAACTCTCTAGTAATAACATGAGGTAGGGATGTGAATATCTATGATGATACTGTAATGTGGGATAATACAGAAAAACAAGGTATTTAGTGCATCATGAAAACTATTAGAAAAGCAATAAGAGTGCCCTATCATTTATGAATGCAAATATAGTAATTGCTGTTAAAGGATTTGGTGGAATTCAAGTAAGAGAGTTTTACCAAACATTAACAGAGTAGCAGAATCATAAATGTAATGTTTGCTTAACTGTTGTAAAAAAGTATAAATAGAGAATAGAAAAAAAAAAAGTATAAATGGTTAAAATTGAGCAAATTATTGTGAGGACACGATATAGCTTTTTATTTTTTGTAAACAAAGCCAGAACACAACATTTGTTTATCTCAGAGCAACGCTGCAATGTTTCATTAATTGAATGAGTTTCATAATGATCCAACTGTCCTTACTCTTTTTTTCTAAATAAATCAGTCATTTGAATGAAACATTTGAATGAACAGAGTTAATCATGCATTAAAAATAAGTTCACCTGAAAATATTTGGAGCTTCATTCAGTTCCTGGAGCCTTGTATAATTACAATTGAACCACTGAAGTCACATGGAATATTCCAGCCTGATCTCACGAGAAAACGTAAGTATTTTATATTTTGCCAGTTTAGTGGCTAATTTAGTCATCCGAAAATATATGATTTTCAAAAGGAACTGTGGCACCTAAACCACACCCCTAAACCCAACCGTCATTGGGAGATGAGCAAATCGTACTAAATTGTATAAATTAGTTCTTACGAATTCATACGAATTAGCCACTAAATCAAAAGTTACGAATTGCTGTGAGATTGTGTTAAATATTCTGACAACGTTTTTGGTTAATTTCTGATCATATCAAAACCATTGCCATCTATAGAGGATGAAGGAGCTGTTAGATTTAATCTAAAATATCTTGTTCCAAAAATGAACAAAGGTCTCAAAGGACTGGAATGAGTCATTCGTTCCTCACGGGCCAATCATATGCGTTTAGAGCCGGAAAGACATTTGATCCATTCACATCGAATCCTCGGGCTTGAGTCATTCTGCCACGTGATGAACGAACGATCATGGCTCCTATCGGCTCAGACTGTGTGCAGTGGTTCAGATTATATGTGACTAAGTGTAACGTAAACGATCCACTGACATTTGAAGACATATAGAGGTGAGCTGAGCAAAGAGACCATACATTCATAGACAAAAGAGCAGGTAAACATTGAATTATTATTTTCTCCTCCTTATAGTATTCTATTTATGAGTATCTATTTGTCGTGTGATCAACCTTTTGGGCTAGTTGTAGATGTGTTAGGAAGCAATTTGCAACATTTTAATAACATTTTGGCAAATTGAACCAAATGGATCTTTGAGTCTCGTTCATCGAGATTAACGACTTTTTTTTTTTTTTTTGAGTTGAGTCAGTAAAATGATAAGTAAAACTTCCCATCACTACAACCTACTGATGGTTTAAAGTGTAATTTGCTCATCTTTGACATGTCTAAAATTGCCATGGTCCAGCATAAAAACACAGCAAAATATTACTTTGTATAAAGTAAGAAAAGTAAATGACACTCTTAAATATTCACTCAAAATATTGTTTGTAGCTTGCTCAAACTTCTTATTTAAGCTGAAAATATTCCTGAGATTTCTCTGGGGCGACTTAATTGTATGTTCAATCCACTTAAATTTGTAAAAACTAATGTTAACTTAATTCCTTCATGATGTCCCAACACAAATCGATTGTGTGGAACCCAGCACTTTTACAGTGTTTTATTTCTTACCCTTTCTGAGGCAACAGCACAAGTGAGTTTGGCTGCTTCAGATCCTCATCCAGAACTACAACATAGTTTTGTGGATGTACAACACTGTTGGTCAGTCTCACAGCTAGAATCTGCCCAGCAACTCCATCCACCCAGTAAAGATTCCTTCCCATCCAGTCAATGGCAATGCAGTCTGACTTCACACCTAAACATGCAAGATTTGTTTAAGACAGGAATTATCAATCTTTGCATTGTATCTTTTTAGAGCTGGAATCATGAGGACAGTTCACTCAAAAGTTTTTTTAATTAATTTTTTCAGTTTTGAATTTTTTTTTACAATTAACAATTAAACTGTCCATTTAAGATTAGGTTTTCTTGATTGCATTCTAATCAGACGAGGGAGACAATCCTAATTATGACTGATGCTTTATTAGTCTCTTTTGCCCTTGTCCTGGTTGCTTTGAGTAGAGGGTTTATGAGTGGACATTTATGAGCTTTCTCAGATCTTCAGATCCACTCTTGCAAAATAAACTTGAATATTAATACAAATGTAGTCAACGGAAAAATGAGAGCATCACCTTTTGTTTCAGCTCTGATAAGGCTTTAAAAATCAGGACATAAGAAACTGTTTAATTTTTTTCACTATTAACCAATGATTTCAAATCTCAGTAGTCTTGCACACTTCAACAATACACTGTAATGCTTAAAATTAAGTTTTGTAATATTAAACATTAAGGGCTCTATTTTGCGCAAAGTGCAAAGCGCAGGACACAAAAGCAATAAGGGCATGTCGAAATCCACTTTTGCTGTTTTCAATCAATCAATCAATCAATCAAGCCTTTATTTGTCACTACACTTTCGTATAGCGAAATTGGACCCCCCAGACCAGGACGGAAAAATCAGCTTTGTGACGTGGTGCATTGTCTAAGGGTTGAGCTCATTAAGTTATAGGTGTGTTGGGTGTTGAGAATAAACCTATGAGAGTCTCATCTCCCATTCCCTTTAAGAGTCAGTTGCATCGCGCCATAGAGCATTTGTTTTTTACATGACGGACTTGTAAGTGGTAAAACTGAGTGTTTCACTAGCAAGAAAACAGTTAAACAGAACATCTACAGGCGAGAATGAGAGAATAAGCCTCATGATTTACTGTCACTTTCACTCTCGTGAATAGGGAAACTTCTTGTACCCACAGACATGCACTAGCATATAAATAATTTAGAACGCAAAGTTTATTTCAAAACTATTTCTTAATTCAGGTCTAATCTCCATCAAACGATTAAATGAACAATAATAACGAAGTGTGGTCAAAAAAGTTATATAATAATACACATGCTATGCCCCATATGGTCTAAAACCTTACAGGTGGGCAAATTTAAGCTTGTTTTTAATGAAACATACAAATATGCTGATAATAAATAATACTGCTAATAATAATAATAATAATAATAATAATAATAATAATAATAATAATAATAATAATAATAATAATAATAACAATAACAACATTACAAAAAGGCAAATTGTTTTGACCCTCTTGCTGTGAGGCGATTATGCTACCCACTGCGCCACCGTGCAGCCCCTATTACTATTATTATTTATTTTTACCTTTGACAATAGTTCCAGTATTGTCCTTTTCTCCGTGGAAGGCATATTTGATGCTCTCATCCTCCAGACTGGCCCAGTAAACCCTTCTCTCCCTCAGATCATAGTCCAGAGAAAAGATGGGTTTCCGTCCAGGAGCAGTAAGAGTCTGAATACTGAAGCTTCGCAGACCCATATTCAACAGCTCATCCTGTTCAGAGACTAAAAGACTGGGCTCATCTGCAAAAAACACAATTCACATCAGATTACTACAAAACATATATTTAATAAATAGTAAAAAAAAACCTCTTCATAAATATATGAAGAACAGATATTTCTGTAAAGACTCTGTAATATCTATAGACCACAGACCTGCCAAGCTGTGAGAGTGCAAGACACTATTTACCCTATCGCAGTATTTAGCCGTTCATCACGGTTTGTGTGCATTTGTGATCATGATCCAATGAGTTGTTGCATAACTTTCTCCACGATGCTGTCAGGGCCAATACAGCAAAGCTGTCTGTGTGCAGCAAGCATTTTTGTCAGGAGAAATGTAAAAGAATTTGAGTATGACAGACTTTGTCTTTTATCAGTTGATTTTGTTACCATTCAGACACATGGAACACTGCTGTGTTTGTACACAATCCTCCAGATTACCGGCAGGGCTAATGAATTGAATAGATGGGGAAAGAGACCTGCTGTACTGCTATTCATTGTTTCTCTATTCAGATCCGGGATTTAGGAGGCGAGAAGTCCTCCTCATTTATAGTGTTTATATAAACATGATTATTTTTTTTAATGATAACAAATTGTGGTTATATATTACATGAAATTATGAACGGCATTAAAATTACTTACTGTTTATTTCTCTGCAGTCTACTTCGTAAACTATAAAAGCATGTGTCTCCTTACATCTTGTATCAGATTATCAATCATTTATCTTAAGTTGATGAGCTAAATGGGCCTTTCCCCCCTGCTCGACCAGCCATACCCATTCCTCCCTCCGCTCGCAGCACTCCACACCTATCTTAAAGAATTTTCTGAAAAAATTCTGAGGTTAACTTGAACTAAAAGAGGGGGGGGGGGGGTTTATGACCCTTAAAAGGGATAGTTAACCCAAAAATGGAAATTGTCATTTATAAATGCACCCTTTACTTATTTAAACTTTAAAGTTTCGTTTGGTAAACACAAAAGATGATATTTAAAAAAAAAAAAAAAAAATTGGAAACCTGTAATCATTGACTTCCATAGTGTTTTTTTTTTCCTACTATGGATGCCAATGGTTACAGTTTTAAGCTTTCTTGAAAATATGTTTTGTGTTCAACAGACAAACAAAAATCTGGTTTGGAACCACCTGAGGGTGAATAACATGGGAACAAATCATCATTTTTGGGTGAAATTAAAGGCAGGAAAATGTTTTACAAGCGGTCATTTTTTTTTAGCAGAACTTGGGTAAGAAGTTTAGGATGAATCAAAATATTTATAAAAACTAATAATATGCCAATACCAGCAGTTTTGCAGCTGTGACCATCAGGCTCCAGTAAAAATTCAGGGTGGCACTGACAGATGTAGGAGCCCAGTCTGTTAAAGCATTTATGACTGCAGGCAGCTGGCTGAATCTCTTTACACTCATCTATGTCAACGCAGGATAACCCGTCAGAGTGAAGCTTGAAGCCAGTCTTACAGCCGCATCTCTGAAAACACAGACAACATTTTTGAACATGTAGCTATATGCATTTACATTTCGTCTCCTAATATGCTTTTAAAATACTTCAGGTATACAGAATTAAGTTCAATATACTAAATCATCCAAAAATGTAATTAATGATAATTTATGCATTGGCTAATATAAAACTTAAAAAGATGTTTTACTGCTCCATGTGGAGTGTTAATGCAGTAGTGTTGGCATGATGGGCTTCCAGGACTGGAGCAGTTGTTCTTCAGACACCCCACGCCCTCATCAGACCCGTCCGCACAGTCTGACGCCTTGTTGCACACCAAATCTGGGTCCATACACTCCCCACTTCCACACTGGAACAAGTGCGTTGGGCATTTCGTTTGACCACCTACACAATGTTTACACTTTAGCATTAATTCAATTATTATAGTGTGGAGCTTGGAATGGATTTCAGATGTGAACTTACATCCAGATTCATCGCTCTCATCCTGGCAGTCTTTCATGCCATCACACCTCCAGGTCTTTGCGATGCATTGAGTTCTAGATGCACACGACCACTGGAACTCACCACACTTCAGCGGAGTCGCTTTGCAGTTCTGCAAAGAAAATGAGAGGGGAAAAACTGGTTAACTAAATTTACATGGACACTTTTTGTCTCTTGAAATTAAACAAAATTGATTTTGAAATCTGAACATTTACATTAAAATTGAAAAGGATGATGGGTGTATTAGTCAAGTTTCAAATGTCTTTTGATCAGATTTTAAATTAATGCTCATCACACGATAACAAATTCACACCATAAATCCCATACAACAAACACCACTGTTAGCACCAGAATCTTAACAGACCACCAAATAACTAAATACCACAACAAACATCAATACAAAGCACGCCATTAATAAAACAGACCATACAGACAAAACATAGCCACAACAAACACCACTCCAAACACAGCAAAAACGACTACAAACTAAATAGCACGCTGCAATAAAAAAACAACAACACCACTATGAACCTATAAAAACAAACTCGACAAACAACAAACACAGGCCACACAAACACCACTACAAACCAAACAAAAATATTACAGAAAAATGTAACAGAAAAACAAAGACAATCAAACTACAAACACAAAAGATAACCAAAACACAGTAAACAAACACCACAAAACATCACTATGGTACAAACACACCCAAACAAAAACAAAAATCACAACAAAAGAAAAAAAACACTGCAAACTAAATGATAGCAAAAACAAAACATTCACAAACACCACCCAAATACCATTACAGACAAACAAAACAAACACCACTATGGTGCAAACACCTAAAAAAAATACCACCACATCACTATGGTACAAGCACAAACAAAATCACAACACAAAAAAACCCACACAAAACATACAAAAAACCCATAATGAACACTAACAAACACCACACAAATATCATTACAGGCATCCATATAACCAACACACTCAAACACACATGGTACCCCAGTTCCCCCCCACCAGAAAACACCGTCACACAATAAAGAAAGAAAAAACACCACCACACCACTATGAACCTATAAAAACAAACTCGACAAACGCAACAAAAACACAGGCCACACAAACACTACTACAAACCAAACAAAAATATTACAGAATGTTTCAGAAAAATGTTACAGAAAAACAAAGACAATCAAACTACAAACACAAAAGATAACCAAAACACAGTAAACACCAAACACAAAATAAACAAAACACATCACTATGGTACAGAAAAACTCAAACAAAAACAAAATCACAAAAAAAAAAAACACTTCAAACTAAACGATAGCAAAAACAAAACAAAACAAACAAACACTCAAACACCACACAAATACCATTACAGGCATCAAAACAAAAACATCACTATGGTACAAACACACACAAACAAAAATCACAACACACAAAAAAACAACATACAAAAAATCCATAATGAACACTAACAAACGCCACACAAATACCATTACATCCAAATAACCAACAACCCCCCCCCCCCAAAAAAACAAAAAAACAAAAACAAAATAGCAATAAATAAACCCCATGCACATTAAAACAAATGCACCAGAAAAACACAATTACGCAACAAAAAGAAAAAAAAAACACCACACAAAAAACACAGCTAAACAAATTTCACTACAAGCATCAGAACAAACTGCCAAACACACAACAAAGAAAAATAAAACGCCAAACGCACTGTGTACACAATATGTTTTGTGCACGATGCATGTTATGCTTGCATGCTTCAACCAAACTGCCTTGAGCAAATGAATAAATACGAACACAAAAACAAAGTTTAGATTAGTGCAGTTCCTCACCCTCTCATCAGAGCCGTCGCTGCAGTCCTTGTCTCCATCACAGAGCCACTCTTTCAGCAGACACTCATGAGTGTGAGGGCAGCGATGATCCAGAGGACAGTGTGGAGGCTGAGGACACCCCTTCTCATCTGTGTGATCACGACAGTCTGCATACCCATCACAGCGGAGACTCAGAGCAACACACTGACCATTACTGCACTGGAAACGATCACCCGAACAAGGCTCTACAACTGTAAAACCAATAAGAGCGGAATAAAAATATATTTATGATAATAAATGGATTCACACTTTTATGAACATCAGATTCAAGGACTTTCAAATGACTATACATTTTAAAATCAAGCGCCATTGTAATTTACATCAACAGCATTTGTAGTACCATGAAAGTCCTTCATTTTACATACATATAATATTTGCAAAAAATTTGCAAGTAATTGTTGTTTTGAGTTAACAAATGTTTAAAGAAGTTTAATAAAATAGAAGTTTAATAATAACACTAGTCCAATACTAGTAATATTCAAATGTATTTTCTGAAATTGATCAAATGTTTGTTTATTAATCACATTTCTTGTACAGAATTTAAATTTAAGGTTTGTAAATTAAGAATTTCTCTTTTTCATTCCGTTTATGACAGCAATACAGAACAATTGTTGAAATAACACAATAAGCTAATTCAATTTCATTGAATTTAATTCAAGCACTTTCAAAGACGTGTTTGTTTTTACGTACTTTTTAATCCTTAAATCCATGTCTGAAATTCACATATTTTCAAGAATTCCCAGAGTAAGCCAACACCCCATCAGGTAAATGTCTAGCATGTTAGAATGTTTAATATTGGCTTAATAAATACCAGAAAATATTGTGAAAAGGTTTTCTGATCCCAGTTTCAATGGGGATAATTCGTTATACACACAGTCAAACATTCCTGCACATTCCTGATAAGTATTGCCTTTACTATTTGTATTTACAAAAACTATAGGGTGTTAATAATATTAATATAACACTCTTAAAGTAAAATCAGTTTCACTCATACTCGAAGCTACAGTAAAGAGCAAAATTGTACAAAACCATACAAGACATCCTGCCAACAGCAGGCAGCTACCTGTTGAACAAATCAAACATTAAGACAAATTATAATATGTCTGTTAAAGACGAAGGACAAAGAAATAAAAAATGAAATTAAAATGTTCATGTAAACATTACTTGGGCTGTCCTACTTGCCTGATGTAGATTTTCAGAGACTAATGCGGCTCTCTCGTTGAAAACAGCAAAATTGTGTGCCCCTCAGGGTGAGACACATTGGTCGAGGCACAACCTAATTGTGTTGCTCCTGTAATATTATGTGCTTTGAACTGCATGTCCATGTTTTCTCATTGGTGAATGAGATATCATTCTTATTGCAAAACAAATGCGTTTCTTATTTTTTTTGTCTCGTTTCTAGTTCAAATATCTAATAAATCTTAAAATCAAGAAGCATTTTCGTACAAGCAAAACAGTCTTGCTTTAAGAAATAATGTGCCAAAATGAAGCAACTTTATCTTAACAAGCTAAATAACCTACCAATGGGGTAAGAAAAACAATCTTGTCAAAAGGAAAAACAAGATTATTTTGCTTGTTTTAAGGAAAAACTCACTTAACATTGGCATGTTATTTCTGAAAAACAAGACATTGTGTTTTGCTTGCCTACAAAATACTTCTTGATATAAAAAGATTTAGATATTAGGCATTTTTAGACATTTTTATTCCTACACCTTGTCCTAACTTCAGAAGATGTTGTGACATGATAAAAAATCTTTTCCAAATAAAAAGGAGTATTTGTGCTTATGATTTGAGATGGCGAAATGTTTTCTATTACGTCGCAGGAAAACAACATCATAAACTGCTGACAATTATCACCTCAGGTACAGATTATGTGCTTTATTCAGTGTCAAATGTTACTATCGTGAGTTCGAAGGCTATTTTATGTGACATTTGTCGTTCTAAAACCTGCACAGATAGCTAAACTCAGATCTAGAAAATAAAACTAGCAAACAATTTGAAAATGAAAGTCAGTGCGACTCGGTGCAAACCAACAACTTCAGTCAATTAGTAGCCTATGGACTCTCAATAACATTAAAGAGGTTTATTTAAATGAATGGCTGGTTTCAAAATGTTTGTTGGGTTGAGTCTTGTGCAGACAGCCTAATTGCTTGTCCAGTCTTCTGTAGTTAGGACAGGGTTTTGGGAAAAATATTTCGGTCACTTTATTTTGACAATCCGTTGAATTTGATGGTCCATTTTGTTAAATTGAAGTTACATTGCATCTACATGCCAACTAATTCTCATTAGATTGACTAGACTGTTAAGTTGTGGTTAGGGTTAGTGTAAGTTGACATGTACTTGCAAAGTTTCTTAGTCAAAATTTAAGTATCTGTATCAAAACATTAAGCAGACAGTCTACTAATACTTAAATGGACCATCAAAATAAAGTGTTACCAATATTTCTATAAACTGCTACCATGAATACTTCATTACCGCAGTTGGCTTCGTCGGTGCCATCCACGCAGTCTTTTTCCCCGTCACAGAGGAACGTTTCAGGAACGCAGCGGGTTTTATTGTCACACTGGTGTCTACACTCATCTGAGAGCTTCATGCAGTTGGCTTCATCTGATCGGTCCTGGCACTGAGGTGTGCCGTCACATACAAACTTCATGTCTATGCACTTTCTGCCATGCGAACACTGGAACTGGCCTGAAGGATACACAAATGTGTAGTGTCAGCTTGGTCAGTTTAATTCTCTTACTGAAGAGCGAAAGGTATTTCCACAATTAAGCGTACCTTTTTTACATTTACGCTCACAGGTCCTCTCATCGGATCCATCTTTGCAGTCTTTCTCTCCATCACACAGATGGTCCAGCAGAACACACTCTTTGCCATCCATGCAAGGTTTGGACCCCAGAGGACATCTCAGAGGTAACGAAGTACTTGCAATCACACCACCAGTGTCTGAAATAATCAATTTGATCATTATAAAGAGAAAAGATCAAAACATGACATGGCTTTCACTTTTATGCACTTCTAGTATGTACACCTCACAAATTGAATACTTCAATTAGTCTACATTTATTGAATTAAGTGCAAAAATAGAACACACCTTATAGTTCAAAAGCAGGAAAATGCAACGTAATATAATAAACATTCAACATGTACACAAATTAATAATAGAAACTATGATAGTTCCAAAACCACCACTGTCACCAACTTATTGAGAAAGATGGAATAATTTGTTGCTAAAAAACCCTGTGACATCATTGCATGACGACATCGTTATGTAATCGGAACTCAAAACTTCATCTTAACGTAATCTATAAAATAATGACTTCTCAAATTAACTGGCCATCTCAGCAAAATGATTTAAAATATGCTCAATTACAGCATGGTATTGGCAGTTATATTGGTATGTAATGCTACGTAAACGAACAACAATTGTTGACAATGATACATACATACATACATACATATATATATATATATATATATATATATAATATTTATTTATATATTATATATACACCTGTTATATTAGACCTGTTGTCTAATAAATTACAAACAACCTATAAATTAATAAATGATATATATATATATATATATATATATATATATATATATATATATATATATATATATATATATATATATATATATATATAAAATTTAATTTTAACCTCAAATAGGTTGTTTGTAATTTATTAGACAACAGGTCTCAAAATCAATTTCTGGAGGGCTGCGTACAACTCGGCCGTTAAAAAAGTATGTTCTATACAGTATGAATGTGAAAAGTATGAATGGAATTCGGACGTACTACATCTGCCATTTTGACATAGTCACGTGACATACCTGCGTCATTTGCGTCGCTTAACTCCCATTCATGAATTCGCTCGCGGGGCATAATTGGATAGCGCAGTGTGCATGGAATGCTTACTCCAGAATCTTGCCGGAAGTAGTCATCTGGGTACTTCTCGCATACTGTTTTTTGAATTCTATGAATTCGGACATACTACTTGGCTCGCATACTGATTTTAGCGTACTGTATAGTATGGAAGTATGCAGTTTCGGACGCAGCCCAGGTCTGAACAGTTTTGCTCCAACCCAAATCAAACACAGCTGATTTAAATAATCAAGGTATTCATGAACACCTTGATTAAGCTGCGGTTACACTGGGCTTTTCCTCCCATAGACTTCCATTCATACGCACGTAAATGCGTCAGACCAGAAACACAGGGTCATGCGTCAAGTTTCGCAGGTTGCTGCGGTGCATAGTTCAAGCTTGGTGAACCTGCGAAATTGCATCACTAGCCTGCGTGAGACCAATCGAGGAGCAAAACATGATCTCTCTGGACAGAAATTTAAAACATGGAGCAATCACGGTCACACTAGAGTTTGATTATGCTAAATTCTGTCATGCAGCACTGTGAAAAGGGGCGGGCATATGCGTCAGTTTCCAGTCTGACGCATTCGCATGCGTATGAATGGAAGTCTATGGGGGGAAAAAATTCCAGTGACCGCAGCTTAAGCGGTGTTTGATTAGGGTTGGAGCATAACGTCCAGACCTGCAGCCCTCCAGGAATTGATTTGAATCCTGTGCATTAGAGTGACAAAGGTTGTCAAAGTTGCCGCAAAATAAATCTGCTGTAGCTGACGCTATTGCTGTGGGGTTAATCTCAACTCCCCAGGGGTCGCAATTCAATGAAAGAGGAAAAAAAAAACCTCAAAAGGCTGATTGATTTTTATTAGTATGTTGTCGTTTTATGTAACAATGCAACTATTAACAACCTTCTGTGGGTTATAAGTAATCTCTCGTCATTGTCCCGCAACCCCCACTTTGGAAACCACTGCCTTACTGGACGGATCAATAACAACAGGGTCCTAATAATGCAGAGGGTCCTGGAACTGCATTCCAGCTTCTCTGGTTGTGTGGGAACATACCATTGACTGCTACAGATTCCGTGCCCAGCTATTTAGACCTTACTTGAGCCACACTCTTTTGACTCATTGAGTCATTGTAATAATAAAAAATAATAATAATAAATAAATAATAAAAAAAAGCTAAAAGTAACAAATGAATGCCAATTGCTAAACTTGTTGTTAGGTGCATTTAATAAATGTTGCTCGTTGTTACATCACTATGCTGTTTTGTGATCATGATTATTTTCGCCAGTCTTTCTTTACTCCCACTTTTATCTCTACAGTTGCTTCCTATTGACCAGCTCCCCTCGAAATAATCATACTTTCTTCAATCTAGCCACTGCCACCATGACAAAAGTGATGACAGGACACTACTCGCGAGGTTCGAAATACTTTGGATTTACATTGTTACATGCCCACTTTTGTTATTCTATTCTCCACTTGTCTATTGTCAGTTTTACACTTTGACTTTATTACATTAAGTTTTTCGTGGTATTTTGTCCCTCACTCGTTGATATTGTGGGTTTGCTTATGCGCATTTTATCAAAAATTCATGTTTTATCAAAAATGGCTCTCCTGCCCCTTGACTGACAACCTTTGAGATCCTACACTAAGGTTTTATGAAAAGTTGCTAAATATAGCAAGGTAATTGCCAAGTTGGCAAAACTGAAAACTACCTAAAAAAAAAAAAAAAAAAAAAGTACTGTTTTGAACTTACAACAATCCTTCTCATCTGAACCATCTCTACAGTCGGGTTTTCCATCACAGCGCTGCTGTTTAGTCAGACAAACAGTCTTTTGGTCGCACTGCAAAGCACAAGTCGGGCACTGATACTCATCAGAACCATCAGCACAGTGTGAGTAACCATCACACACAACAGCTTTGTGGACACACTTCCGCTTGTCCTTGCACAGAAAATGGTCTGAAGGCAGAACAAACATGATATTACAGCAAATATGTATGAACATTAAAGATGGTATTCATGAAAAGGACAAATTCCTCCTTTTACCTGGATCTGAACATGAATATATGCAGAACTGCTCATCGGCTCCACTGGGACAGTCCACCTTTCCATCACAGAGCTGAGATTCTGGCATGCACTTTGATGTTTCTTTGCAAAACATAGACGGGCTTCTGCAGCCTAATGTTTTTAAAGGGTCTGCATTGGATGCGTCAGGGATTGAAGCTACAGAACAAAAACAAAATAAGTAAATATTTAGAACCAAAATGTTATAAACAGTGCAAATTGCTTTAAGAATGCAATCCCATTAAAACCCCCCCATTGATGAGTAGATGGTTTCTATGGTGTATTTTTACTGTGCAAGTAAAAAAAAAAAAAAAAAAACACACATGCAGGATCTTTAATTGAATACGACCAATAAATCCTACCGATTCCTCTGATATGAGAACAATCTATTGAAATAAGATTAGGGATGCACCGATATGGATTTTTTTGGCCGATACTGATAATTCTTCAGACTTGGAGGCCGATAGCCGATATGTATAGGCCGATAATCATAAATATTTTAAATTGTTATATTTTTATACAGCAAACTTTATAAAAGATTTAACTGCTCTTTAGAACTGAATAGCCTATACACAAAGCAAAAAAGCTATAACTTCAAAATTTCAAGGTGATTATAGACCTATATTCACGATTTCACATAAATCAGCATCCAAAAAAATGTCCTTTTCTTCATAGCAAATTAACATGCAAGTTGATTGTTGCATAAAATAATAGTTTAAATAACAAAATGGTATTTAATTAACAAGCAAGATAATTATATTTAAATAAGATGAAAATGAAAGAGCTAAGGACTGAAACCAGCTCAAATGGTCATGGATAAAACATGTTACTGGGATGTACACATGTACAAATATGTCATGTCTGAAAAAGCCTTTATCAGAGGTGTTTTGACAATTTAGACCCACCGTACAAGCCAACAGCTAAATACAGATAGTACGTTTTAGTATGTTTAGAAAATGCGGCACAGATTCCTTCTATTTGGTGTTTTGACGTCACATGTAGCTGCTGCTTGTCAATCAGACGCTTCTGCGCTCTATCTTGTCGTCAATCGCGGGAAAATGATCGATGAAAATTTTATGATAAACCACTGAGAGTTTTACTCAACTGTAGAGGCAGAGTCGTCATCAGAGTCAGATTTTGATACAAAACCTGCATTGAGCTGACTTTGACAAACACAGAGCAGAATATAAAGACTGAATTAGCGGCTAGTTAAGAGCCCTTTTGACTGGATTCACCTCTCGCCTCTCCCCCATGCTACAGTGTGTGTGCGGTGACAGCTCGCCCTCGTTATAATCAGTATGAATATTCCGATCAAACTGAATACATCTTACATCATGACATGAGACATGACCAGCAACGTGTTGATAACAACAAATAATCAGATTACAAACAACCGTTATGTTTACACGTGTTGTAAAATGTGCGGGTCCTTCAACGGGACTGGGCTGCGGTTTGGGGTGTGTACGAGACAGAGGGAGAGAGAAGAGCGGTTTAAGCAATGAGACCATTTTCTGTGATGTTTCCTCTTTGGAGACTTATTGTACCACACGGAAAGTAATAATTATTTTGGACCAAGTTACATGAGTCCTCTTTCATTCACCAGCTACAACGAAAAGTTCACCCCGTAACTAATATTATTCGGCCCTAGAGTAATAAGTGAATCTCCCCTGATATCTCTTAACACAACAAAGAGACATATGCAATATGCTGGTGTTTAACTGCATTGCTTTAATGCACTCCTGCATTGCATTCACACATACTCTGCATTCTACGTTACTTTAAAACTGTTGATAAGCTGTGGTGGGCATTACCAAACACAACAGACTAGGTCATCTGACCAATCAGCACAAATTAGCTTTGTGCTAAGGAGGGGTTTGGGAACAAATGAATCGCTAAACAAATCATATGGGAGCCATTGAGATAAGGCAAAAAATAAATGCATTTTATAAGACAATAAATGTTTTTTTTTTTTACCTTGCATACATATCAGACTGTTGCTAAAGACCACCGAAACCAAAATATGACCTTTTTCAATGAATATTAGAGGCTCTTAAATGTCACAAGAATGAAATATTGCATTTTACCTGAAGGACCCGATTTAGATGTGTGGGTCACTTTACAATAGGTTTTCAATAACGTATTTACTAACATGCACTAATTATGAAGAATACTTGCACAGCATTTATTAATCATAGTTCAACATTTACTAATGCATTAACATGCAAAATCATGCTTGTTAACATTGGTTATTGAAATAACAAACAACCATTTTCATTAACATTAACAAATACTGTAATGCATGTTTTCTTCATTGCTTGTTCATGTTAGTAAATGTATTAATTAACACTTACTAATACAGTACAACCCTATTGTAAAGTACTACTGACTTATAAATTAATGATTTAAACCAGAAAATTTGCAAACAGTTACAAACTTACGGCAGTTAGCTTCATCAGTGGCATCTACACAGTCTTTCTCTCCGTCACAGAGGAAGCTCTCTGGGATGCAGCGAGTTTTATTATCACACTGATGTTTGCAGTCGTGTGATCGAGTGAAACAGTTCAGTTCATCAGAGCGGTCCTGACACTGAGGGGTGCCGTCACACACCTGCTTTTTGTCTATGCACATCCTCCCATGAGCACAGCGGAACTGATCTAGGAGCAGACATTGGTTCAAAATGTCAGTTGCACAAGTCCAAAACCTCAAAATCAGTTCGAATTGTATTCATGAGCTTTACCTGCTTTACAGCGGTTTGGACAGCCCTGCTCATCAGATCCATCATCACAATCCTTCTCTCCATCACACACATGAGTGTGGAGGACACACTGACGTCCATCATTACAGGGTTTAGAGCCTACGCGACACTTCAGTGGTCCAGAGTTTGAGTTTTCAGCAGCCTTAGTGGGACATCCATGCTCATCTGATCCATCAGTGCAGTGAGAGCGGCCATCGCACACCAAATCTTTATCTACACACTTCCTCCTGTCCTTACACAAGAAGTCACCTACAACAAAGGAAAAGGATTATTACTGCATGGCTACCAAAAGTAGCCATATTTTGTGAAATTCCTCAGGTAAATGAACATTTCACACCAGTAATTTAGGCTGTGTTAAAAACAGACCCATAAAGACAATCCAATCAATAACATTGCAAATATGAAGACAATCTACAGATTTAAGATATGAAGCATAAAAATGTCAGTTTGCATGCACCCTGGATTAACTGTTAATAACGGCTTGTGTGAAACCAAGCAATATTACTTTGGAAATTACTCTTTAATATTTGGATCACTCTAAACCCATAGTAAAGTGAATCCTTTTAAAAAATGAACTTCTTATAGGAGTACCCGAGTTTGGACATCTGTCAAAACAAAAGGTTTCATCATATCCATCAGGACAGTCTTTCTTGCCATCACAGAGACTAGTGGGAGGGACGCAGAGCAACCCGTCACGACACAGCACAGAAGGACTTTCACATTTTACCACCTTCGTGGGGTAGCCTGAAGACAAAAGCAGTGTAAATGATGTTGTTAGCGTTTCATTATAAATTCTTGCAGGTACAAATCATAGAGTACCCACCACAGTCAGATTCATCAGTGCCATCCACACAGTCTGTCTCTCCATCGCAGAGGAAGTTTTCTGGGATGCAGCGGGTTTTATTGTCACAGCGATGGCTGCAGCTTTTGCTGCGAGTGAAGCAGTCCTTTTCGTCAGAGAAATCTTGGCATTGTGGTTTGCCATCACACACAAGCTTGGCATCAATGCACTTTCTTCCATGGGCACATTGAAATTGTCCTGAGTAGCACAAACAAACAAACAAACAAACAAACAAACAAACAAACAAAATAACACAAAGGTTATCATCAACAAGGAACATTTTGGAGGAGAGTCAGGAAAAAAGTATTTCAGACGCATGTAAAAAAACACTTAAAGTACATATGGTTGTCAATAGATTTATTGCAAATTAACTGCATTTTTTTAATTGCAAAGTTATCATAAAAATTAACCACACACCTATTTCATTTAACATTGTCCTCATTTGCTACATAATGCAGTGTATTTTTTATTTGATGCCATTCCATTGCAAGAACATTTCAATACTATATATATATATATATATATAGGTGCTCATGCATGTACAGTGCTGCTACTTTCAAGAGTTCGAGATTTTTTTTGCAAGCAGCAGCAGTTGCCACTTTTACTTCCTTGAATAGATTATTAATGCATTACCCGCATGTACGCAATTATCCTTTCATTATCGCACAATGTTTTTCACCTATTTTCTTTTGCTTATAGTTTTATTATTTCATTATTTTCTTGTCAGCTTAGTCCCTTTATTAATCGGGGGTTTGCCACAGCGGAATGAACCACCAACTTATTCAGCACATTTTTACATAGCGGATGCCCTTCCAGCCGCAACCCATCTCTGGGAAACATCCACACACACTCATGAGCTACGGACAATTTAGCCCACCCAATTCACCTGTACCGTATGTCTTTGGACTGTGGGGGAAACCAAAGCATCTGGAGGAAACCCACGCAAACGCAGGGAGAAAATCCAAACTCCACACAGAAACCAGCGACCTTCTTGCTGTGTGGCAACAGCACTACTTACTGCGCCACTGCGTCGCTATGCTTAATTTTATAATATAGTTTTATTAAAGTTTAATTATCATTCTTTACAATAACATTGCTCTAATAGGAGAGTAACTCTATATTTATCGATAGGTAACTGATCTAGGACCTTTTAGCCACGACAGCCTACTTTTTATAGTTTTACATATACGAAAAAAGTTTTTTTTTTTTTTTTAAATGTCAATTGTTTTATTAAAAAAAAAAAAAAAAAAAAAAAAAAAAAAAAAAAAAAACAACAACTGGTAAATCCCTAAAAACTCAAGTGAAATAAATTAAAATGAAATAAAATTTATTGCATTGCTACACTATGAAAGCACAACCCATTTGTTCATGCTCATTGAGCTAGGTCATATACAGCACACACAAAACTTAAAATTAACAAGGAGGCATGTTGACATAACACAACATTTAAATCAAGTAATTTTAGCATGCCAAGCTCAAAATTATGCATATAAAATAAACATTTTCCCAACAACAAATTTGTGGCTAATGAAAATGGCGAGTGGCTAGTAACACTGGAAAAATACTAGTCACAGTGGCAGGTGATCAAAAGTATTAATGTCAAGCCTCTTCATCAAGGTCTTCATCTTTAGGCAAAAACATGGGTTATTCTTGTATGTCCAATACGACATCAGGTAAAAATCACTAGATTAGTGTAGTCTTAAAACTCTGTTTGAGATTTTAGGTTGTATTTCATATTGTTAATTATTTCACAATGCAACCCCACTCCTCTTGCCACTTATTTAAAATGTAAACATTGCTGAAAGGTCTTTAAAGATCTTTAAAGGAGAAATTTGGCATTTGTTCACCACGTTTCAAAGCATCCTTAGCAGCTGCATCTCGTTTGCTAAATAAAATGAGCAACAAAGTAGGTAGTGCTGCTAACGCATGCATTGCTTGCGACACCATACCGAATGGAGTAATATTTGAAAATGCAGGATTTCCCTGTTTTAGTGTTTACATTAATGCATTTAGTGGACCAAGTAGAAGTAAACATTTACCAAATATATAAGATTATATGCAGAGAAAAAAAGTGGTTTGAAGGGCTTACCTGCTTCACAATTAAAATCACAGTCAATTTCATCTGATCCATCTTTACAGTCTGACTCCCCATCACACACGTGACTGTGCAGGACACACTCACGTCCGTCCCTACAGGGTTTAGAGCCCACACGACACCTCAGTGATGCTTTAGTTGTGGTTGTAGGTGCTGTGGTGGCACATCCAATCTCATCCGAATGGTCAATGCAGTGAAAGCGACCATCACACACTTGCTTTCTGTCAATGCACTTTGTCCTGTCTTTACACATGAAGTCACCTGGCAGGGAAGGAGATTGCAAAGCAATAAGACAACAAGAGATTTACTCCATCCACTATGTTACAAATAAACCAAACAAATAAACGGTGTTCATTACTGCGATATGGGCAGTTGCGAAGGCAAGGTCTCTCATCAGAGCCATCAGGACAGTCTTTTCTCCCATCACACAGATATTGCTTCAGGATGCAAAGTGATGTCCCTTGACAGGCCACGTAAGGGCTTTTGCAGGGTGATGGAGGAGTGGGCATGGCTAAAAAACAAAACAAAAAAAAAACAATATATTAGACTTTAAAATGCATGACTATAGCATTTCCCTAACTTGTTTTGCCAGTATCTTACTACAGATTTAAATCCATTCAAGGTCAAAAACACTTGAGCTGCTCAAACACTGCAGCAATAGTTTTTGTTCCGCAGTATCAAACAGCTCATTTAAGGATGATGTCTCTCCTTAACTGCTTAAGTCAGTGTTGTGCAAAAGAGAAGATTAGGAGACTGTCGTTTCTTCAACTAGGATCCTTTATTGAACTCACCCATGCTGCAGACATGAAGATGTCTAACAGAAGTCTTACCAGTAGTCTGCTTGTGCATGTTGCACTGAATGTTATATACATTTTAGGGGGGCAGTGATAGAGGTACACACTTATCTAAAAGCAGTAGATAGTTGAATTTAATAATTACAATACTACTACTACTACTACTAATAATAATAATAATAAATACCTTTTACTTATAGGCGCCTTTCAAAGTACTCAAGGACACCTTACAATATATCACAGGCACATTATAAAACAAAAGCAGAAGAATAATAAACATAAGATTAAACCAGAAAATCATTAACAGCAATCCTGAACAGAAAGTCTAACCTGAGATGAAAAATTGTAGATTGAATCCACCTGACGAATATCTAAATGGCAGGGAATTCCATATCTGTGGTGCTATGCAGCTAAAAGCTCTGCCACCAGATGATTTCATCTTAAAATTCCAGCACCCACCCTGATCTAATCAACAAAACAGTCAAATTTATAGGTGCCAATACAAACAGCCTAAAAGTATTGCCTTGAAATTACATGGAAACAAAAAAGGCACAGCCGCGTTTTATAATTGTAAGGTTAATATTTCTCACACATGGGCTGCAAGACTTATTCTTTAGCATGTCATAACATAAAACACAATGAACTAAACTTTCAGATATAAACTACTGCGATTGTGGTAGGCGGACCCTTTAGGTGCGTGCGTTGTGTGCCAATCACGTCAAGGCTTTATATGAGCAGGTGCGCGCTCCGTCTCCGGTTGGCATTTTGTTGTTTGGACCTGTTGATGGGAGTCTCTCCACTAGCCCTCCAGTGAGTAGAGCATGTTGGAAACCGTGAGTAAGATGGAATGGATTATTAAGTTTACATGAGTGTATTTTTCTTTTAAGGATAGTGGATAGTAGTGGTTCTTTGTATGTGTTGCTTTGGTTGCTGTTGTCATTATTATTAGTTTATGATTATTATTTCTAGAAGTTGGTGTTGTTGTTATGATTGTAGTGATGATGTGACATTAACTTATTTGCTTAGTATTGCCCAATCGGAACCAAGGGTGGTGTGACGGTGATATTTTGAATTGTGTGGTTTGTGGTGTATATGATTTACTATATTTAGATTTTTGTTTGGGGTTTATGATTTTGTTTTCAACGTCTAGGGGTCCTACATAGTGGTTCCTATTTGGGTTTTATTATATGCTGGAGTGGGACACATTGATTAACCAAGAATAACAACTGATTGCCAATTTCATTTTTGTTGATTGCGGGTGGGATTTATATTGGTATAGTCTTCCTGGTATTTGTATTGATATTGTTTAATGTTTTTTTTATTGCTATGTATTTTCTTTGTGGTTGTTTTCTAGAATAACCACCTAATTAGCTTTATTGATTCGGTTTATGCCATTTGTGGGTGGGCTTATGGTTGTATGGATTTTTGGGGTATTGTATTGATTTTGTCTCTATTATGATTTTTTTGTGTGTCTATATTTCCTTTTTTTGGCTAAATGTATGGTGTTCTAGAGTGATATCGGCTACACATTGATCCATCTACTTGTCCATTTGTGGGGATGATGCTTTAAGCGCTTATGAATTCAGAGTTGGGAAGGTGTCCTTAACTGGTGTTTTTGTTACTAGGAACACTGTTTAATAAAGGCAACATTTTTATTGTGATGTTGAGCTCAATATTTTAAATGGTAAATGTAAGAAATAAAATTGAGATTTGCTTGAACCGTGATTAGACTCTGCTTGTCACTGTCCATTAAGTTGGATACTTACCATTGGGAAGACCATCTTTAAGTTAGTCTTAGGCGTCGAGGGCCTACCCCTGAGTGCCCCTTTTACACATTGAAACTTAGATTTTATAAATTGGTAATTCCACACCAGGGACGCACCAACTTCAAAAAATGTGCGGCAATGAAATCCAGCTGCTTTGAACCCAATGAAAAATGACACGTGGAAAACACCAAATAAATTAGCATGACACTGCCCAAATCCTGGCCATTGGAGCCTATTCTACTTTGATTGGTCAAGATCAAACCAAACTCTTCTAGGAATAAATTACAGCCACAATGTGGGATTATCAAATACAATGTTGTTTGCAGACAATAAAGACCACTGACTTGCATTATGACCACATGGCAAAACCCATGTCGATTCAATTCAATCTCAACTCATGTAAGGCAGTTCAGAATCACTTTGTTTTTGTAGACTATAGGTGTGTCCCAAATTGCATACTTATGCACTATTCTATGCCCTTTTTCACACTGGAAACTCTATTAAAAAAATTAAAAAATAAAATTGTAAGTGCACTAGGCTTGGGCGGTATTCAAATTTTGATACCGTCAAACCTCCTCCCTATTTTACCCCGGTATCCAGTATTACTGTGCATAATAAAAAAATTATGATGCAAGGCTCAAACAGCGTCACCAAACTGTTGGCTTGTGCCTAAATCATTCAGAAACTGAATACTGTACAAGCGACATTAGGTTCGTGGTCACCTGTTTGTCTTGTTCGTATTAGAGATCTGCATGCTATCTCTATTTAAGTGCATTGTTTTTATGGTGGTATAACGGTATTGAAACTGACACTGTTGCTATTTTTAGATCCCGCGGTATACCATATTACCGCCCAAGCCTAAAGTTCACTTTAAATTTCTCGGATGATGCATTCATATGACCGGTAAAATGAAGTGCAGAATAATGGACACTTCACACACTCAATGACCACAGATTTGCTCATGTAGCGGAAGTGTTGGAAAACTTCATTAATTTTGGAGTGTTAAAGCAAAATTCTCCCACGAGTGATTATAGCGCCTTCCAATGGTCAATGCAGTCATACTTATGGCAGGTATTATTTGGTAGTTTTTTTTTGTTAATTTCAGTAATTTGGCAATCATCAAACATCATCAGTTTGAATTTCCTCTTAAAAAAAAAAAAAAATTGGGATGACACTACATTTATACTATGCTGTTGAGTGTGTAAGTGCATAAGTACAGTGGATAAGTGCATAGTGTGCCATTTGGGATGCAGATTATGACAATTGAGCACTTTCAGCTGTTTTTAGTAGTAAAAAAAATGAGCAAAGTCTCAAGGATCAATTACACCTTGAAAGACAATATTTCAAAAATTGGGCATTTTAACATTTGCCACCATTTCTTTGCTTTGATGCCCCTTTTCAAGCAATATTCATTACGTTTGTTATGCATTTCTAATTGGAGTAATTAAAGGTTCAAATGTGCCATTTCTGGATTCTTCAACAGCACACTTACCACAGTCAGCCTCATCTGCACCATCCCAGCAGTCTCTCATACCATTACAGACAAACACTTCTGGAATACAGCGGGTGTTCCCATCGCATCGAATACTGCAGGTCTTGGTGGGTTTCCAGCAGTTGGCTTCATCAGAGTGATCCGGACACTGAGGAGTCCCATCACACACTTGCCGAAAATCAATACACTTCTTTCCCTGAATACACTGAAACATGCCTGTGAAGAAATCAGCATGCCAAGAATAGGTGAGTTGGATAGAAGTTACTGTTAATACAGTTGTTTTAATGAATTTCACGATGTGTGTGAACAGTCTCACCAGGATCGCACTGAAGTTCACAATCTTCTTCATCAGATCCATCTCTACAGTCTCTGTCTCCATCACATAGATGATTGTACCGGACACACTCGCGTCCATTTTTACAGGGTTTAGAGCCCACACGACACTTGAAGGGAGTCATTTTGGTTTTACATCCAACCTCATCAGAACCATCAAAGCAGTGAGATTGGCCATCACAAACAAGAGCTTCCGCAATACACTTCCTCCGGTCCTCACACAGAAAGTCACCTTTATGATCAACAGAAAAAAAACTGGCATAATTGGCAAGAGTCATGACAGATTAGATATGTGGGATAATGGAACAAATGGAAAGAGAAGGTAAAGGAGAAGGTGGAGGAAGGGAGGGAAATGAGGAGTTAACTTTCTTCACATTTGTGCTATTTTACAAGAAAAAGAGAAGGACAAGGACAAGAAGACTGATGTGGAATGGAAAAATGAGGTGAAAAAAGGGGGATGAGATCAAGGAGAAGAATAATGTGGTTAAAAACAATGACAACGTTAAGCAGTGAAGGTGGAGATGGAAGAGGAAAATGAGGAGTCGAAGAAAAGCAAAGAAAATTGAAAGATCGAGAGTTGAAGAGAAGAAAAATGGGGATAGGTATAGGAAGGAGCGAAGAGAGGCGAACAATGAGTAGAATGAGGATGGGGAGGAGAAAATGTTGAGCCTGATGAGGAAAAAATTAGAAGAAATGAGGGAAAGTGAATGAAAAACAGAACAAACAGACTGATAAGAATATCGTCATGCAAGGTAAGCACATGTTTCCATGGAAAAATAATAGGAATGTAGTGCACTAAAATGGGAAAAGGCTTTGTGTTAATGGCCCTTTAGAAAGGTTTCGGGCACTAGTAAGCAAAGCACGATGGGACCCAAAGGGTAAATCAACTTGGACTGGTTTCAGCAGGTTGTTTTCTGCTGGGAAAGAATTACCTGGAACAGCACATGCATCTAAACAAGAAGCTTCATCAGACCCATCAGGACAGTCTCTTCTGCCATCACATAGCTGAGCCTGGGACACACACACTGACATATCCGGACACAGGACAGAGGGACTCTCACAGCTTGTCTGATCTGGTCTGGATGCAGCTGTCATGAAACATGAAGCAAGCAAGGTTTTATTAGAACATTTATTTGAACAACATGTCATTTGTTAAAAAAAGTTGCTTTTTAAAAAGCGTTTAGAGGATTAGATGATTAATAAGGAGTTAGAGTTGGGAAGGAACACCTGACAAGTCAAGTCTTGTCTTCTCCCACCTTGGACTAATCTGGTCACTGTTCTTTACTACAATGAAGATTGTTAAATCATGTCACCGGAATAACCACTAGACAATCAGAGCCAACTAATGTGCACCTTTCAATACTTGGAAGATTGTTATAAATCAGGGGTGCCTAAGTGTGGCTTGGAAGAATAATGGAAAAAGTTGGTCTCTGCATGCACGGATGGAGTTGTAGTAAACGTTGGACTTGACAATGGTGTTTGTCCCCAAATTACTTGAAGTAGTGGCAATTGGTGTTATGATTTTCACATCTTAATACTTATAATGACAGCATAGGCTATGCCTTGAACAGTAGGACCACCAAACAACATCTATAGTAGATCTCTAGGGCCATATCCAGTTTAGATAAAGTAAGGCTTTTTACAGTTCAGAAATTTTAACTCACCACAATTATCTTCATCTGTGCCATCTCGACAGTCTCTAATCCCATTGCAGATAAAGGCTTCAGGAACACAGTGATGGTCCCAGTCACAGCGTAAGCTGCAGCTCCTAGAGGGTTTCCTGCATCCTGCTTCATCAGAATTATCCAGACACTGAGGAGTCCCATCACACACCTGATTCATTTTGATACATCTCCCCCCAGAAACACACTGGAACTGGCCTGTGACGGAAGAACGGAAGAATGTCAGTACTTGAACATAAATGGCCAGTGAGTGTAGATTTGAAGGTTAGACTAACCTTCTTGGCATTGATGACCACAGTCCTCTTCGTCAGATCCATCCTTACAGTCCTCATCTCCATCACACAAATGACTCTGTGGGACACATCCACGCCCATCTTTACAAGGTTTAGAGCCCACACGACATGCAAGTGCTGGTCTGGTTGTAGTTTTAGCTGGTATGGAACAATCCAGCTCATCAGAGTCATCAAGGCAGTCGGAGTGACCATCACACACCAGATTCCCTTCAATACACTTTCTTCTGTCCTTACACAGGAAATGACCTGGCACAATTTTACAGTGGTACATTAGTTTTTAGTTCATTCTGTCAATAAAAGTTTATTTACACTGAGGCTCGAAGGTTTACCAGGTTTTGAACAAACATCTATGCATGAAACTTCATCAGAACCATCAGGACAATCGATTCTCCCATCACAGATCTGAGTCTGGGTAATGCAGAGTGATGTTACAGGACACAGCCTGGAGGGACTTCTACAGACGGGAGGTGGAGGCTGCAAACCTGAAGTGTCTTTGTTTGGCGTCACCGATTTATCTTCTTCACCTTTAATTTCAGCTGTAAAAGATTTAGATTAAAACCCTTATCAGGTCTGTTACATTCTACATGTCAAATGTTCAGATGGACTGGTCTAACCATATCAGAAACTGCTGATCTGCTGATATCAACAGCAGTTCAGCAGGTAAATACAATGTCAATGTCAGAGACTAGTTCAATTTGATAAAATAGTTACTATCAAATGACCACTCATTACAACTGAGGTCTGCGGAAGCACATCTCTAAACAAATAACATGTCAAAACCCAAGGCAGAGCTATAGCACTAGAGGAAGATGCTCCTTTCAGCTAGAAGGAGAAAACTGAGCCTAAAATTTCCACAGGCCCAATAAAAACTAAAGGGTCACGAAACATCAAAACACATATTTTGAGCTGTTGACAGTCGTATACGTGTCCCACACTGTTAAAAACACTATTAGGACACATTTTACTAAAAAGTAGGGATGTAACAATATTGTAAATACCGTCATACCGCAATAGCAATTTCTTTCAATATTACCGTGGTTGTGACTCAAAATCATAGGTGTTTTGGCAAAAAGTTTGCTCAGGCGAAAGGAGCGAATGAGAGGTAGCGGAAACTACAATTTTCATCAGCCCAGGCGTGGCCATCATCCTTTGCAGTCTGCTGTTGCTACAGATCCAGTAATGCAGAAATGGAGGGTGCTGCTAGTCCCTAAAAATGGTCGAACCTAAAGCGGGTTTTAAATCAGATGTGTGGAAGCATTTCAGTTTCTCTCTGAAAATAAACAAGAAAGAAGAAAAGGTGACAGAAAAAAAGGGTATGCAGGCACTGCCAGACTGTGCTGAAATACAAGTCGGGGAATACGACTAACATGATGGGGATTCTTTTAGTCAAGGGGACAGCAGAACACAGCACACTGCTCAGATTGATGAAGACATTGACTTGTACCACCAAGAGACCTCTATCTCACTTATGGCTTGTCCTTTCGAGTGGTGTTTTTTTTTTACATGGTTTAAAAATTTTTGTTATTAAAATTGAATAATTTAAGTTCCTGTTTTAAAGTTTACAGATTGATAATTTGTATGTCATTGATCTGTTCTGTGTTGAGGTAACTTGAACATTCTAGCACTTTGAGTCTCTTCAATAGTTTTGTTTTTCCTTTAAATGATTCAATAAATACCTTACAGTGCCATTCATACCGAGGTATTACCGTAATGTGGAATTTTGATACTGTTACATCCCTACTAAAAAGTTTTTGCGTTATTTCGAGTAAATTTGTTTTTCCGGTTTTAAACTAATTTTTGAAGCTGCGTTATGGACATGAGATCTCAGTATTCCAGTGTGTGCGATCAGTGCCCTTACACTGCAAGCAAACTATTGCCGACCATCGTGTTTAATTTTCGCCGCATTTTCTGACAGAATAGTCTACACACACACACGGCTATCTGACCTACCGAGTGCATCCGAGTAACCAAGAAATGCGGAGGTTTTTTTCCTCTTATACGACGTGCAGTATTAAACATTCCACCGTCATTAAACAGTCACTGTCTTTCTCCACTGCGTCTGTGTGTTTGTTTTTCCTCTATGAAAATCAGCGCGTGCCCAAATGGAAACTCCCATTTTTATTCAAATCCCTTCCCTTTTCCCTCCCCTGAAACTCCAACCCAAACAGATAGACACACCGACTTTCCTGACTTTTTCCAAACTAGAAGCGTGAAAAACCCCTGCTGAAACGGGGGGTTTCTTGGTCCTTTAACAATAGAAGATTGGTAAAAGATTGATTTCTGCTTTGGTTCCAGACATGGATGATTCAGTATCAGTTCAGTAATAGATCATAACTGTTTATTATGTAATAATGTCATATGCACTCATGTCACGGAAGCATATTATGCCAAGGGTGAATAATTAAAACGCTCCAACTACTTAAAAGCTGAAAACTGTACACAATTCACTTCTTGCAAAGTTGAGCTGTCACTGATGGTACAGTAGTTTTCTGGGCACACAAAACACATTTTACAGATTTGGGAGGGAAACTCCTCAACAACCACCACCAGTGTGCAGCATCCACCTGGATGTAACTGTAGCCATTTTGTGCCAGACCGCACACCTGCTTATTGGTGGAGAGATGAGAGTGATGAAGCTAATACTGATATGTGGATGGTTAGGATGCCATGATAGACAGAGACCAGTGGGCAAGTTTGGTCAGGATACCAAGGTTACACCCCTACTCTTTTCAAAGGACATCCTGGAACATTTAATGGTCAGAGAGTCAGAATCCTAGCTCAGTCTCATTCAAGGGGTGGTGTTCTCTGACAGTTCAGTCCTTATCAGTATATTTGTGGCATTAGAACCCACAGAGACAATGAGAGGAGCATCCCATGCTGGCCTCAATAGCACCCGTTCCAGAAGCAACTTATTTTCGCCATATGGCCCATCAGAGGTACAAACCAGGAACAACACTGCTTGGCTTCAGTGGGTAATCATGTGATGGCTGCAGAGAGCTAGCTGCCAGCATGCTATCATGAATGTTACCAAGTACTTGAGTGTGTCAGTTTATGGCAGTTTACTCAAACCTGATGCTAGAAAGGAGGTACATTGAATAAGTGATTGGTGAGTGCAGACTCTCACATTAAATTTTGCATTTAACAGAAAAAGCACCATGTTGCAAAAAAAAATTCTGTCTGCTTGTGTGGTTTGACATATTATGCCTTGTTTCCACTAAGCGCTATAGTTCAATACAGTATGGTACACATTTTCAACCATCTAAGGTACCAAAATAGTGAACTGTGCTATACCACTTTGAGAATGACGTTGATCCCAACATCATGGCATACATCACATCAAGAATGTAAGGCCGTACTCACACTAGGTACAGTTGCCTCGAACCGGGCCAAAGCACGCTTGTCCCCCCTCCCGTTTCCCCTGACGGCCCACGCTCACACCACAAACGGGCTTCGGCACGCTTACGTCATCGCTGCTGTGCTGTTCAGAGAGAAGCACTCTCTCACTCAGCAGCACAGTGGAGATTTCTTTAGTTATATCGTTTCAGTCGTTTTATATGCCGTCAAATATTTCGCCAAACAGTCCTTAGGGATGCGGGGACACGCAGTCAGATATTTCGCCAAACAGATCCGCCACTTTTGGCGTTCATAAACAATCATAAAGCTCTCGTGCTGCAGGAATGAGGAGGTCTGCTGAAGGCGCGCAGCTGTCGTGCAGTGAGGAGTCTGCGTCTTTAATAAACTACAGCAGTTTGCGTTCACTGAACAGTAAGAATGATTAATAAATCCATATGAAACAGTCCCTTAAAAGTCACGTCTCGCTTTCAGTTTCGGGCTTTGGCGCGTTTTGCACTCACACACAAGCGTACTGTGCCAAAGCCCAAGTGAACCGGGCTCAGGCACACCTCTTCCAACCGGGCCAGGGCCAGCCAAGTGAACCGTGCTTGAGCCCAAATCAGCGCACTCACACTTCTCAAACGATCTGGGAAACGGGCCTGGGCACAGTACGGATGGCATAGTGTGAGTAGACCCTAAGACTACTGTTGACATAGCAAACAAGCCTGATCCAGTTAACCTGTACAGCTCAGTGAAAATGAGGCATCACCGGACTATTATGGTGTAAGTTTGGGTAAGAATTGCTTGTCTAACAACTGAGAAGTGCATTATTTTGGAAAATAGTCAAAGAAACCCTTTTAAAAATGCAGTTTAGAATTCTTTGGTAGTGCTAGTGGTCATAGAGATTAGTTAACATTTAAACAGTGAAAGGGCAGAAAAGAAAATATATTTAAAATAAGTGTTTTTTTTTTTTTTAAGCACTCACAGCAGTTAGCTTCATCAGTGGCATCTACACAGTCTCTCTCTCCATCACAGAGGAAGCTCTCTGGGATGCAGCGAGTTTTATTATCACACTGATGTCTGCAGTCGTGTGATCGAGTGAAACAGTTCAGTTCATCAGAGCGGTCCTGACACTGAGGGGTGCCGTCACACACCTGCTTTTTGTCGATACACATCCTCCCATGAGCACAGCGGAACTGATCTAGGAGCAAACATTTGTTTAATATTGACAATAAGTTAAATATCAAAAGCTAAGACTAGAAGTAAAATCACTAATAGTTCAAAGAAATCTTTACCTGCTTTACAGCGGTTTGGACAGCCCCGCTCATCCGACCCATCCTTACAATCCTTCTCTCCATCACACACATGATCATGCAGGACACACTGACGCCCATCATTACAGGGTTTAGAGCCCACACGACACTTCAGTGGCACTTTATTTAAGGTTCTGGCTGACAAGTAACAAGCCATCTCATCAGAGCCATCAAAGCAGTCAGATCGACCATCGCACACCTGATTTCCATCAACACACTTCCTGCTGTCCTTACACAGGAAGTCACCTGGGATAATATTACATGTGTCAGTGCTTTCCTCTTTGAAATAAAACTTGTGTGAGGCCAAGCAAAGATTTACCAGGATTAGAACAAGCGTGGACACAGGAAACTTCATCAGAACCATCCGGACAATCAAGTTTGCCATCACAGAGCCGAGTCTGGGAAATGCAGAGTGATGTTCCAGGACACAACATTGAATGACTTTTACAGACTGGAGGTGGAGGCTGAACATCAGAGCGGTCTTTGTTCAGTGTGACCAAATTTATATCCACACTTTTAATCTCAGCTGAAAAAATGAGTAGAAAGGGCATTTATTAAAAGATTAAAACCCCAACATGCTAGGTAATAAATCCGTAGTAGTATGCACATTTTTCACCATGCACTAATTAGATCAGTGTTGGTGTTTGAGCAAAGGTGTAAACAAAAAGCGCATACTGACACATTTACCTATTTATTATGCAAGAGGATTAGGATTTCCAAAGTCTTCGTAACAGTAGGCGAGAAGTACACATATGAGCTACAATTAAATTGACGTGGGTAGTCATGTGAAGACAACATAGTAGATGTGGTTACTTAAAATTCCATTCATACTACAGACAATAATGGTCGATAAGTGCTTTCAAACATAGCACCTGTGATTCATCTTGACAGTGCCATCTTTCACTGTGTGTCACGGTGTCTACATGCTCAAAAATCATTTATAATCAGGAGTTTAAACTGACTACTGCTTAAATGCATGCAGATGCTTGGTTTGTTTTTGCCAGAGTAACTGAGGCACAAGCTGTAAAGACTTCACCCTCTTCTGGAAAGGGGGCTGAAAGCAGCAGCTTACACATTGGCTGTTTCTCAATATACATTTTTCAGCGTTCTTGTGTCCTTGTGTAACGCCATCATCAAAAACTCAAGACCACAAGAACGGAGGACATGCTAAAAGTTCCCGGATGTTTTCTTCATATTGAGGACTCATAGATGCAGACTTGAGAGAAAACTTGCTTGAAAAGTGCTACAGGTCCTTGCAGCTAAAGGAGGTGGGGATAGTACCATTTTATATCCTTGCTATTAAAGTTTAGAGATATAACTTAAGCAACAATAACTTAAGTTTCCCTAAATAATACGGTGAAAGTAAACATTAACATGAATATCTATATAAAGGCATAAACACATTAAGGGTGTTCATTTGCTGAAATTTGTATTAAAATCTGCTTCATTTGTATTGTGCAAATAATTTTTGCATGGTTTCGGGCCGTGAAAAGAAGTAAAAACAAAATTGTTGTATAAATGCTGTAATGTTTTAATTTTCCAATAAAAATACGTGAAGGTCATGTGACCATCAGGAAGAACTCAGCATCTCATTTCTCACAAGATGCGTTCTGTGTTCCTGCAGTCTCCCAAGGTTATACTTCCAAGGTAAGCTGGCAAGAATGTCTACACAAGAACACCAGTATGCCCTGTGATCTTGGAATTGAGAAACAGCCATTAACACACCTGGGAGTTAAGTAAATCTTTTATATAAAAAAAAAACTGCATACCAAGACAGTATTATCGGAATAGGAGCATGGTAACACTTTAGAATAACTGTGCATTATAACTAGTTATTAGATCATTAATAAACTGTTAAAGAGCTATAAATTGCTTGTTAAAAGTTAACAGTTTGTCAATTACTTATAACTGTGCCTTTTAGATAGCCAGTAGATAACTTACAAGCTGTTAGTTAAGTTATAAATGAATTGTTAACTGTGTTTTAATGAATTATAACTATACCTAGTAAATTAGTAACAGATCATGAACAAGCGGTTAGTAGAATACTTACTAAACTGTTAGTAAATGTGAAAAAGTTGCAACTTTAGAATAACGTCCCAAGAACATACTTAGGCTAATAACTAACATTTAACTAATGTAACTCGCACTGCACAGATCAGTTGTTCATAGTTTGTTTACCACCTACTAATACCAGTGAAACTTTGTAGAACAGTATATGGATGGAACAAGTGCAAGCTACAGAAACTTGATGTGACATTTAAAATATAACTTTTTTGTACCTTAACCTGGTCTCACTCATGGGCTTTGCAGTGTGCTGTATTTTACCAAAGAAACTCCACAGATGAAATGTTGAACGTTGTGTTTAATGTATAGAAACACACATACTGCGCCATCACATGACAGAACAGCAGTATACAACAGAATACAAACCCATGAGGTTTGGGCCCTTTTATATAGTAGTTAAGTGTTAGTTATTAGTATATTAGCTTATGCATGTTATTGGGAGGTTATTGTAAAGTTGCAACAATTCCTAATTTACTAACCGTTAATAAATGAAGAATAGTTGCAAATAGAATAACTTCCCATTAACAAACTATTAACTGATACTAAAGTCTGTAGTAGGTAATTTACTAACAGCTTGTTCACAATCTATTATTAATTTATTAGGTATAGTTATAAATAATTAAAATACACAGTTAACATGTCATTTATAACTTAATTAACAGCTTGCAGGTAATCTATTGACTAAATCTAAAAGGCACAGTTATAAATAATTAACAAACTGTTAACTATTATTTAACAAGTAATTTAAAACTCTTTAACAAACATTTTATTAATGATCTAATTAGTTATTTTGCATAGCTATTCTAAAGTGTAACCAAGAAAACGGACTACTGCAACCAGCGGCCGTGGAAAGACAAAAGCCTCTGACTCAAGCACAGAACACATGCTCTAGAACAGGGATGTCAAACTCAATTTCTGGAGGGCCACAGCCCTGCACAGTTTAGCTCCAACCCTGCTCTAACACACTTACCTGTAGGTTTTTAAACAAGCCTGAAGGACTCAATTAGTTTGATCCAGTGTGTTTAATTAGAGTTGGAACTACACTGTGCAGGGCTTTGGCCCTTCCAGGAATTAAGTTTGACATCCCTGCTCTATTTAATCGGCTGCTTTCCGTTGGGTGCGTTCACGAACAGCTTTTTGGTTCAGAGACTAGATGCCAGAGGTGACAACACAGTTGCTTTTTGTCTGGCATTGCCTTTGTGTGTACCAGCCTTTAGAGATGTATACATAGTGGAAAGTAAGGCTTTTTGGCTAATTTTTTACAGAAATTACACTAACTTTCAAAGTCTAAGAGTCCATTTAAAATAAAGTGAAGAGCATGTGGTTAGAAAGACACAGAGAGTAAAAAAAAACAAAACAATTAACCCTCTGTGGTGTTTAGAAACAAAAAAACATAACTCACAGCAGTTAGCTTCATCAGTGGCATCTACACAGTCTCTCTCTCCATCACAGAGGAAGCTCTCAGGGATGCAGCGAGTTTTATTATCACACTGATGTTTGCAGTCGTGTGATCGAGTGAAACAGTTCAGTTCATCAGAGCGGTCCTGACACTGAGGGGTGCCGTCACACACCTGCTTTTTGTCTATGCACATCCTCCCATGAGCACAGCGGAACTGATCTAGGAGCAAACATTTGTTTAATATTGACAATAGGTTAAAAATCAAAAGCTAAGACTAGAAGTAAAATCACTAATAGTTCAAAGAAATCTTTACCTGCTTTACAGCGGTTTGGACAGCCCCGCTCATCTGACCCATCCTTACAATCCTTCTCTCCATCACACACATGATCATGCAGGACACACTGACGCCCATCATTACAGGGTTTAGAGCCCACACGACACTTCAGTGGCACTTTATTTGAGGTTCTGGCTGACAAGTAACAAGCCATCTCATCAGAGCCATCAAAGCAGTCAGATCGACCGTCGCACACCTGATTTCCATCAACACACTTCCTCCTGTCCTTACACAGGAAGTCACCTGGTACAATAATACAGATGTCAGTGCTTTGTGCCAACAACTCTTTAAAAAAAAAAGACATACATTGAAGATCAAGAAAAGATTTACCAGGATTAGAACAAGCGTGGACACAGGAAACTTCATCAGAACCATCTGGACAATCGAGTTTTCCGTCACACAGCCGTGTCTGGGAAATGCAGAGTGATGTTCCAGGACACAACATTGAGGGTCTTTTACAGACTGGAGGTGGAGGCTGAACATCTGAGCGGTCTGTGTTTCGTGTGACCACATTTTTTTCCACATTTTTAATCTCAGCTGGCAAGAGGAGCAGATCCAAAAAAAAATTTAAATCACAACATGCATGAGTGTGACTTATTCCACATGCAAACAGCAAAGCAAAAAAAAAAAAAAAAAAAAAAAAAAAAAACATCAAAAAATTATTTTCGCTGCTTGTGTAAACTACTTATTTCAAGAGTTCACACTTTGATATTGCTTGATATTAATAACAACAGGGTATGGCATGCTGCCCCAGGAGAGAACCTTGAGCTCTAAGATAATTGAGCCCAGGGATCCCACCAGGTCAATAAGCATGTAAGAGGGTATAAGATCAGGTAGTACTCGAGAGCTCCCCCTGGTAAATGAGAAAGAGGGGGAGATGGGGTGGATTCTTCAAAAAATGAAGATGAGAGTAAAGCTGCAGTCACCCTTGACTTTTCTCTCCACAGACCTCCATTCATACGCACGCAAATGCATCAGACTGGAAACGCAATGTCATGCGTCAAGTTTCGCAGGTTGCTGCATGAACTCTGACTTGCGAAATCGCATCACTTGACTGCGTGAGACCAAACAAAGATCAAAACATGACCTAAAACATGACAAATTTAAAACAGAGCAATCAATGGATTTTTAATTGTCTAAGAATCTTGTTTAATCCCGCCTCTTTTCACAGAGCCGAACGACAATTTCTCAGACACAAACGTAATGCTAGATGAGATTTATAGTGAGTTTGAAATAATCCGATTGGCTTACTAATGATTACAAATGAGAGACCAGCCGCGATCAATCATATCACCTACTCTTCTCAAAATTACTTTGTAAAACTTCATTTAACCCAAGCAGAATCAACAATTGAGTTTAACAACTTAAATGTTTTATGTTCAATTTACTTGAGTTTATAAAAAACAAGTTAGATTAATTTATTAG